ATTTCCACTTCCAGAAGAAAAGCTGTTTTGCCTAGGTCCCAAATTTTGATGAACTTGATTTTATTAAAAAATCAATATACTGTAGATATAGATATAATGTACTTTGATTTATGATCAGGGTTTGTTCATGAAAACCATGTCATAAACTGAATACCGTAATCGAAAATAAAGTTGTATTTATCCACTGATTACCGTTATAAATTTGGAGATATGTTCCTTAACACTTTTGCTGTGAGACCAGGATAAATTTGAGATAGCAACTTGTAGCTTGCTACAATAACCAGGTTTTCCACTGGAGTTAAAATCAAACCTATTGAAAGTCTTGAGCGGTTGTGCCACCCTCCTCCTATTAGAGCAATGGCTTTTGCTACCTTGTAAATGCAGCCATATCAAGGTGATGAGTGTAAACCCCTGCATTGGTGATTTGTGATTATGGGGATTTTCTTCAGTTATTTATATTGTACAGTTTTGCCTTTATATGGTGTAAAATTGTATACTGTACTGTATTACATATAAGGATAAATAAAGTATGAAATCATTACATTGTATGCAATGTTTGGTATAATTTCATAAAGTGTTTGTTCACAGAGTTATTTCTCACATAGCCTTAGGTACAGCACCACATAAAGAATTCAACTTATGAATTTTATCCCAAGTTAAATATACAATGTTGTCATGTGTAGATGGTGAGCGTCCCTTTAACTGGTTTTTTATGCCACTTTCAAATTCCTCTTTATGAATGGCATAAAAAAGTCATAGACATCCGAAGAAGTTGATATCATCCAGCAGGAGTCGAGACTCTTCCGGGAATCAGAGATTTCCAATATGGAGACAAATTTTCTTTTCCCGGATAAAATTGCACACCCTGGAATTTTTCCGGGTACAGTACTGAACTGGGGAAAGTCATCCGATAGTAAACTACGCATTACGCACAGACACTCTCCCATTACTTTCAGTCCGTGGTCATGACAAAATACTTACAGCTAGTGAAAAAGTGTATTAACTTTTATCCACAGTATCTGTTCTAATTGTGCTTGAAAGATGAATTTGGTACCACAATGATCCTGAATAAATTCTTTACAAGATTCTTTCAATATAAAATCCTTAAACAAAATATTTCAACACAATATAATGATTGGCTCTCAATTCTTTTAAGAAAATACATAAATGTTTTTACCAGTCTATAATATTAATCCTGAATATTTTTTATGAAAGTTTGTTCATATAAATAAACATTCGTATGACATAAAAACCCTGAGTGTTAAGTCTAGGTTAAAAATAACTGTGGGGTCGGTGTTCTTTGGCAACTTGACTAGAAAATCCCCCACCCTCTGTACTTTTCCACCTTGTACTGGGGAAAGTTTCCGAGTCTAAACTATGCATCTTGCAGGGACTGACACACAGTTGCATTTATTAATGCACCCACCACTGTACATGTACAACATATTGAAAATAAATAAAATTACTACTGTATACTGTACACTATACAGTACTCACCAGCAGATGCTGTCCTCTTGAGCTTGTGATGCAGACAGGCCAAATGGTGTTATGATGATACAGAATGGCCTGCCTTAGTCCTGTACCAGGTGTTGCTAACTCCCTTCTCTCTCCCTTCATGTAGGATGGGATTGTACGTACACTCTACAGAACAGTATACATTAAACCCTTGTTATTCGCGGGGGTTATATTTAAAGGAATGGTGCGAATAGGCAAAACCATGAACAGCAACTTATACTATCATAGTGCACTACTGTATACCTATACAGGTACTGTGTAAGAAACTTAAGTCACCCAAACTACTTACATTTGTATGTGGAAGTTTGGAAATTGATAATTGTAGTGTACAGCAGGATGAAGTCTTGTTACTGAAGTAGAGGGATATCATCAGGATCTATGTTGTAAGAAAGTGATGCAGTGGTGATTTGTGGAGAGGCCGGTGACGGAGAGGCAAGGGATGGACAGGCAGGCAGTGGAGCGGCAGTGGCTGTCTTGAGGTGGTGAGGAAGATGGTTTAGCTGAACAAGCTGCTGGCTCTTTCTTGAAAATTATCGAGATTGGTATTTGTTCCTTGTATTTGAGTTCTCTAAACATTTCCTGGTTGGGAACTAATGCTCGGTTGATTTCTCGGATGATCTTAAGGCCACGTTCCATGGAAGGGTTGTGGTCAACAATGAAATCAATTACCACCTTCACATGTGAAACAGTTCACCCAAATTGTTAAAGTGCCAAACTTCTTGTTGCAATTTTAAAATGTCTTCCTCTTCCTCAGCAGTTTTTACCAACTGTTCGAAGTCATCTTTGCCATTTACTCTCTTTGCCCATCGATCAGCTCTACCATATCTTCTGTAAACATGTCCACCCAATTGATCCACAACACTCCAAATGTCATTCACATCCTTTTCTATGAACAGGAATCCCTGGAAGTTATTAACACACTCGGCCTACAAGACTGGCTAATGAGCTTTCACCGTCTCTGGTTTTAGCTAGCGGCTGGTGTAATATGCCTAAAAGATGAGTATTACACCCTCATCAATAGGCTGAATAAGAGCAGTGATGTTAGGTGGTAGGAATGCCAGCTCTACACTTGGATGGCAAAATTGCAGACTTTTGGGGTGGCCTGGTGCATTGTCTATGATTAATAGCACCTTGAAATCCATCTTCTTGGAAGCAAGGTACTTTTCCACTTCTGGGATGAAACCTCTATGGAACCAATCCAGGAATGCTAGCAGTTACCCATGTCTTTTGTGAGACTGCAAAAACAGGCAAATGGTTCTTGTTTTTTCCTTTTAAAGCCCTTGGGTTTGCCAAGTGGTAAAGCAAGCCAGGCTTGATCATGTGGCCAGCCACATTGCCACAGAAGAGGACCGTCACTCTGGCTTTGGTTGCCTTGAACTCTGGGGTCCACTTATTAATGTAAATTCTACACTGGCATCCTTTTCCAATTTAGACCGAATTCATTGGCATTAAAAATTTACTTCAATTTATAGCCTTTCTCCTCTATAATCTAACTTAATTCCACAGGAAATGCTTCTGCAGCCACGTGGTCAGCTGATGCAGCCATATTAGAGCGATAATCATTTATAAAATTGTCAAACCACCCTTTTCTGGCGTTAAAAGTTTCAGTAGCTACACTAACCCCTTCACTACCTGTTGATTAGTGAAAATGGGTATAGAGACTCTTAGCCACTCATATCACATTGTCAATCAGTACGTTTTTGCTGTGGTGGTCTTCAATCCAAATGTAGGAGCACTTGTTGCTACTGTCACAAATCGTTTGCTTGTTCTTAATGTACTGCACCATGGATTTATTCACATCAAACAACTGGCCAACTGCAGAGGCACTCATTTCTTCCTTTTAACTTATCATATAATTACTGGATTTTGCCTTTTATGCTTCATTGCACTAGCATCACTAGCATCAAACATTTTTTTGGGGCCATTTAACACAAAAAACACTAGTTTTGAGCACAACACGAGAGGTGCTGCATCACACACAATGGTTAAGCACAAACAGGGGAGAAGAGATGCTGTGGGTGTGACTCGTAGCGCTCACACAGAGGCTTCAGAGTTGGCCACCATCTATATACTGCACAAATTGTAAACTTGTGAATAACAAGGGTTTACTTGACTGTACATACACTCTTTACGCTCTAGCATATACTGTCCACTCTGCTAAATACTGTACAGTACTGTACTGTACATATGATACTCTCACACAGTATACTTAACTGTAATCACTTATGTCTTCACACTGCTTTAAAAGTTTTCTTGGCAGATTATATGCTGGTATATTAATGTACAGAACTACACAACACAGATTGTATGTGAAAACAGCAGTGAGTGAGCTAACAAGCTTGTACAATAGTTGCATGATTGCAAGAGTTTGAGGAGATAGGCTAGGAGATGTAGCAGGCATCATAGGCATCTCATGCAGTCACTTGACAGTAGTAGCCAATTGCAGCTCATAAGCCTACCAGCCCGGCACGTGTCCCTGGGTTGGAAACATGATGCAATCTCTCGAAACTTCGTTCCCATGCCCGAAACAAAGAAATTCTCTCAGAACTGCCCAGAGTGGAGTGATTTTTTTCTGGAATTTCTCGATGCTAAAAAAAAAAAAGAAAGAGGCTATGAGTTCCAGGGATCTAAGATTCCAGCTAGCAGATATATATTTTATAAAATTTTAATTTTTAAATTAACTGTGTACTTGAAAAGAGTCTTAGGAGTTATTTTAGTATATGTTGAGGGAAATTTTAATCCATAGAATTATATAATGGAAGTCAATGGGAAATTCAATTTTGAGTAACCGAATGCTTTTTAGGAGTGTTATCCCTCCTTAACTCGAGGGATACCTGTACCAGAGCGCAGGAAGAGATCAGATAAATGTTGTTTTCAAATATATTCAACAATGTGTGCCCTTGCCAAAGTGTACCAACTTGTTTGAAGCAAAGGGTTTTGAACTGTTGGAGGTTGTATGATATAAGGCAGGAATTAACTAAAGGTAGTTACACAAATAAGCTTGTGTTGGTCTTACATATTGTACAGGGAAAAATATCACATTACAGTATTAAACACTTCAGGCTATTATGAAAATTTTCACTGTTAAGTTCATAGATTATTATCTCATAATCTAGTATAAAATGTGTTGTTCCATGATTAGGGCATTGACCCAATAAGCAAATGGTCTTGGGTTTGATTCCAAGCCAAAGTAGAGGACCGAGTTATTGCCTAGTACATTAGGCAATAAAAAGAATACTTGAAATGGTGCACTTGCTGATGGTTAAAGCCTTCAATGGAATAGTATTCTGCCAAGGGGTGAGTAGGTAACCCACTAGCTGTAGAACAATAAGAATCTGAGCAGTTACCTTGCATCATAGCAGAAAAATGCTGTATGCAGGAAAGTCATTATGTCCAATCAACTGTGCTTCAGTAAATCATACAAAAAATAAAATACAAATATAATTGGTTTCTGCTCAAATCATTCGGGTCAAAATAAAAGGCAGTTTGTTGACAATTCATTTGTTATTTACTGCAGAAAATGTATAAAATTGAGTTCAAAATAGTTTTTTCAAAATCATCAAAACCTAAGAAGCAAATTTCTAAAATAAAAGCTAAGCTGCCTAAACTTGGACTTTGTTGGAAATGACAAGAAATTATATTTCTTAACTATGTTCTAAAGGATTTCTTATTTCCCTCACTGACAACTGTGTCCAGCCAAGTTATCTTTCACAAATTCATTCTACTAATTTCCAATACATTATCACTGTTCTGAAAGCTTAGCCCCTTAGCAGCTTTTAATTAATTACAGTGTTAAGAAAATTACATTTGTATTTGAGTTTTGTTTATTCACATAATGACTTTTCTTTAATCAATAAATATAAAACTGAATTATTCACGGGGAATTTTATTATTCTTTAAATCATGGCAGATTTGGGGTCCACTTCTTATTTGGTAGTTTCTTGTGCAACAAACTTTGGCCATTTATCTGTTACTTCCTTCCAAAGTATTTTACCATCAGCTAATTTCTTCACTGTTAGTGGAACTTCATCAATCTGAAAATGAAACAAAATGACAGTAATATTTAATTACTCTAGATTAAAACAGATATAAAGAATCAGGAGAGCTAAGTAAAGACCATTATTAGCAGTTACAAGATATTAAAATTATCTTCAGATAATTATTCCTACATTGTCACATCTTTGACAAATCAACTAAGTTTGTAGTGAAACTTCCAATCTTGTATGACCCAGCTCCTCCCCATTTTTTTTCTTTTTTTTACAGTTTGTATTACAGGTATACTGTAAGTGTAAGCTAGAGTTGAGGATATGAGCAAGTATGAGTGAATACTTCCACTTTTTGTTTTATCCCTTTCTACCCTTAAATTACACTATAGTACTATTGGATACAGCCAATAATCTGGCAAATTCATGGTCACATGAAAGATAATACACGTACAGGTATCAACTTTGCAGTAAATACTAGCTTTTTTTAAAAACCCCAATCAGATATAACAAATTACCTAGACCTGAAAATTATAATAGAAAAGCATGGTTATGGAAAATTATAGTACAGTGATGTGTCTAGCTCTAATAAAAATTGCTTAAGTGCACTATGCTAAACATGCTTGTAACATTACAGATATGAACACATCAATAATCTGCTGTATGAAATTTATTCAGTTCACACTATTTCTCCAACCACTCAAGTACACAGTTTCCCCAACCTTTTTTGTCTGGTAATACAGTAAAGCCTCGAATAATGACGGCAATGTGTCCTCCAATATTGCAGTGTATGTTGACTCATCATATAGTGAATCATTAATTACCATTAAAATAAAACAATAATGGTGAGATGCATTCCAAAATCTGACCTTTTCCTATCTTTTGTGTGACTTTTTACCCTCTTTTCCCATATTCTTTAAATAATGTTTATGAATGCACCTTATACAATATAAACAAATAATAATAAGATCACCCAAGAGGAGATGGGACGCCATTGTTTTCGTAAAGTGTTTACATCCGGTACGATGGTTCTGCACAAGAAACTGAAGAAAATAAGACCCTGGTTGTAGCTGTAGTAAAATTAATGAAAAAAATATATAGGTGTACAGGTATATGTTTTAAGTAATGTTATTTAATGTTAATAAGTGGAACAATAGAAGCAGCTAAGCACTAATGGTAAAGAAATAAAGCGAGACAGATTGGGAGCACCAACGTATAAGTACGTGAGCACTCGAGGAAACATAGCGTCATTTCTCTACATAAGAATATGAAAGCAACACTTATTTACTGCTCATATGTTTTAAATAATACTTACGAATGCAAAACAAAAATTCTACTCACAAATGGTGGTAAAGTCTAAAACATAAGGACAGCCAATGAATATTGTGTGAGTTTTTACTCAGATGATGAAATCATCAGGTTCAACTCTGGCTGAAGCTGTAGCTTTCCATAAAGATGTTATAGCTGTTGCTGAAACTGTTACTGAACCTAAAGTTGTTGCTGAATCTGCTTATGATGCTGAACTTGATGGTTTAGGCCTTTGAATAATAAAGCTGTTGAAAACCTTTCACAGCTGCTACCTTTTCTCATTAACGTATTTATCAGCTTGGAAGACCCACCTTGATTTTGGAGGAAATGAAATTCTATTTTTTTTTTTTTTTTACGGGTATTAGCCCACCTGGGCACAGGTCACTGACCCACATCGGGGCCTAGGGGGCAAAAATGTAATAATAATAAAGAACCAAAAAGAAAAAAAAAATCAAGAGTGAGAAACAATACAGTGGGGTATGCTATAACGAACGGATCCTACTACGAATATTCCTATAACGAACGGTTTTACCTATAAAATTGAGAATGCTATAACGAACGAAACTCCTACAACGAACATTATTTAATTTTTTTTTTTTTCTAATTTAGTTTTTTATTACAAATATTAATGATATTCTTTATTTCAGGGGTTTAGATGCATATTTATGCACTTTTTTTACAATTTTTACAATATTATATTTTTCAGTGTCAAGTGGTTGTATTTGGGGGCCTGGAACGGATTAATCCTATAACGAACGAATGCTATAACGAACAAGGTTCTAGAACCAATTAGATTCGTTATAGCATACCCCACTGTATATGTATGTTGTGTTGTCAAATTAAGAGAAACAATTGAGACCCTGCAATTGTGTGTAAATGAGGCAGAAAGTCAAATCAGCAACCTGGGACTTGATCACAATTTTCGTGATGCCATATGGCAGCAGGGTCTACCAATATCTTCCCAGGCAGTAGTACCTCCCTGTTTGGTAGCTGCCTACTACCGGCACCAGTGAAACCGTTGCTTGATAATTATACAGCCCTTTTCGCACAAGTACACACACCTCTTTGAATATCATCACTTAGAACTGCTTATCAGTTGTCATTTTCATCGTTTAAAAAAAAATTCTGTATAAGATGAAATCTTTAATACAGCACTCATTTTATACACCTGGTCACCTCTGCATCTAGGGGGCTGTAGTGTTTACATTCTTTCTCTTGTTTTTGTCGGTATGACAACAACTGGAAATATTTTCCAACAGTAGAAGGTAAGCAAATGTAAACATGTATATCAACGTCTAAATAAAACAAAAAAAATCTTTATTAAAAAAATAAATGAATAAAAGTAAAAAAAAAAAACTCGTTTACAAAACCAGTGACTGATTGGTTCTACATAATTATAAAACTGAAGAAAATAAGACCCCGGTTGTAGCTGCAGTAAAATTAATATGATTGTTTTAAATAATGTTATTTAATGTTAATAAATGGAACAGTAGAAGTAGCCAATCATTAATGATAAAGAAAAAAGTGAGATCGCGTATGTAAGTGAGCACATGTGTAAACATATCGTCATTATTCTACACAAGAATATGAAAGCAACACTTACTTACTGTTCATATATGTTTTAATTAATGTTTCTGAATTAAAAAAAAAAATTCTACCCACCAGTGGTGGTAAAGTTGAAAACACAAGGACAGCCAATGTTGTTGTGTGTGTTTTTACTTGGATGACTAAGTTGAATTTATATTTGGAAAATTTTAATTTTCTGGGTTTTTTACAGTCTAAATGGGTATACAAATGTGAAAGCCTACTGTAAATAGGTGTCCAAATATGAGAGTCTACGTATAAAGAAACAAACATTCCTGCGCTTTGAGACCAGCAGACAACCTTTAGCAATTCCTCAATAGATGGCGCTGGGGCACCACTGCCATTAGTAAACAAACCACACAGCAGCAAGGGTTTATTTTTATTTTTTTTGCAATACCTGTATATCAACAATATTAGTTAAATCAATAGTTTTATAGTACTGTATAGAGAATACTTGTAATTGTTAAGTAATGTAATGAAGTAACAGTCTTTGTAAGGGGCTGATTTCAGTTGACCCTAAGAAAACCTCTGCTACAACTATCAACTCGCGTCCTGGAAGACGCACAGGAATTTTCAAGGTATATTTTTGTAATAAAAAGTACGTCATTTGCATTTTTCACGTCCATGTTAGTTTTAATGCTTCGTTCTGTTAATGGACCCACTTCAGAAAATATGTTCATTGCTTGCTCCATATAATATCCACACACCTCTCACCTTTTTCATATCGTTTTAACACCTCTAGTTTCTCAGCTAATCTTATACACTTTCTTTTAGCTTTTGAACCAGCACTACCATCACTTGCTCTCTTGCTCATGTTGATTAGGGATGCAAAAATTCCATAAGAAACACGAGAACATCTTTCTCCTTTTCCTGATCAAATGGGTGAAAACAAAGGTCCCGCCAAGCTGCGACTGTTTATACTAGTGATGCTGACGTCACCACTCACAAGCCCAGCAGCCTCTGTGTGCAAGGCGTGTTTTTTTTTTAAATACATATCGGGATTTAGTTATTATTTATATGAAAATATATATTTTATTTTTATTTTTCTATTTTCGTCGTAAATACGAAAAAACAATGACGTAAATTGAATTGGGTCCTAAATTGGGTCTTAAATATAAATCGTCATTAGTAGAACTGTCGTTAACGGAGGCTTTCCTGTATCTCTGTCATCTAGCCTACCATAAGGTCGTACAATATAATTATAACCTAGAAAATTTTCACAAAACAAAGTTGGCAAAATCAAGTATACACCTATACATATTAAAACCCACCCCTAATCTTCTAATTTCCAGGTATGTAGTTAGTTCACTCCAATCTCTTATGCAAGGGAACATTCAAAATCATGTGGTAAATATCGCATAATAACAAAAATATATAACAAACTCACCGGCATTCTAACTTGCTCTGTACTATCTCTTTCTCTGAGAGTTACTGTGTGAGGTGTATTATTAACTGTGTCAAAGTCAACTGTGACACCAAATGGAATAGCTATTTCATCTGTTCGAGCATATCGTCGTCCAATGGAGCCAGTTGAGTCATCCACCCTCACTGGGAGATTCAGTTCAGTGAGAGCATCAGCTGTTGAAAAATTTAAGAATTAAAAGTGGTATCCACCAAAGTTACACATAAATCTTTGAAATGCCCAGTGTTAATTTATTGTACTCAATAAAAACAAAAATTAATCATTAACTTAAAATTCTTACTTCATCTGCCTGAAATGGATAGCACTGTTTCTCAAAATTCTATTTATACAAAAGTGTGTTGAGAAAATATGACAACAGACGAAGGATTTGGACAACCCTACCAATACAACAAAAGTCACAGTGTTCATTCTGAAATTCAGTGACCCCACCCCCCATCCAAGTACAACAGACTATTTTTTTAGGGACAGTACAAGCAGCATGTCAAGGTACTTCAGAGAATAAATGAACTTACTATACGGTATTCTTAAATTGAAAAAAATCTGGTGAACATAAACATTATTATTCAAAACCTTAACTATCCATGAGACTATCAAAGTTTTGGGTTTAAATCCCTTGCCAAGTCAACAAATCATGTACAAAATGGTGAATCATGATTTTCATCCTGAAACTTTTCAATAATCTTTACCAATTTCAAAAGAAGTCTCCCTCAGATGAACAAGAACTACAGTGGTCACTCGGTTAACAAACTCTATTCGTTCCAGAGGGTCATTCGTAAACCGAAACCATTGTTTCAATGGGATATTGGATAATTGGTTCCAGCTCACAGAAAAGTATATACAAAGTAAAGCCAAAAACGCATAAGGTCAGAAACACTCCTAAAAATCCCCGAAATCGCCCTTAAATCACTATACAGGATATATATATATATATACATATACACTCTTACTCTTAAATCACTACTGTACTGTGATACAGGTGATTAATTTTTATCTTTTGTGCAAAATATATGATGTTTATATTCAAATTTATTCAAATTATTCGCTGTCTTGCAAGGATTCCAGCAATGCAAATTACATTCTCCTAACTTTAGTCTGAGATAAAATATAAAAGATAAAATCTGTAAACCTAAAACCCTGCCTGGGCAGATGGGGTAGAGGAGGGGAAAGAGGGAGGGAGCGTGGGGGGGGAAGAGCGGGAGGTGAGGTGTACTTTGACAGTTAGCGCCGAAGGTCTGGTGAAGTATTTATTTGTTTATTTATGTCGTTTAGTTGAGTTTTTGTTTTTTGCTCATAAAATTGCATAGAAATGACCGGGGAGAATATAATTTACATTGCTGGAATTCTTATAAGATAGTGATTAATTTGAATATAAACAAGCTATAATTTGCATTAGACATAGAAATTTTAGATTTAATTTAAGAATTTTATTAGAGAGCAAAAATTTTTATCTTGTACAAAATATATGACGTTTACGGTATATTCAAATTATTCGCTGTCTTGCAAGGATTCCAGTAATGCAAATTATATTCTCCCAACTTTTGTCTGTGATAATATATACCGTAAGATATAAACTTAAAGCCTACTGTATAACCACCAAACCTTTGATGGGAGGAAGGAGGGAGGGAGGGAGGGGTGACAGTGACATGTTTGACAGTTAGCGAAGGTCTGGTGAAGTATTTATTTGTTTATTTATGTCGTTTAGTTGAATTTTTGTTTTTTGCTCATAAAATGTCATAGAAGTGACCGGGGAGAATATAATTTACATTGCTGGAATTCTTATAAGATAGTGATTAATTTGAATGTAAACATGCCATAGTTTGCACTAGACAAAAATTTTAGTAATCATTTTGTACATTATTTTGATTACATGTACAGTTCAGCTTTGCCCTTAGGAGAGTGTGTGCATGTAAATGAGTTTCAATACATGAGCCAAATATAACAGTTGAAAAACTTTATGTAGACAGAGCTTGGATGGCTAAATTTAAGAATGACCAATAATTTTAATACTGTATAAAAAAATGCACAAATATTAAAGTGCACAATTTCCTTGATATTTACTCCATTGGAAACGAATGTAAACATAGAAGAGATTACTGAATTGGCTGAGTACCCCCTCAGCTTATCAGCTGATGTTCAAAACAAAACGTGATTTTCGTAAGGATTTCGTTAATCAAAATTTTTTTTGTTAACCGAATTGAAGATTCTTATGGAAAGTAATTCGTTAACCGAGGAACCACTGTATTCAGCCACAAAAGCATGTGGTACTGATGTACAATTCCTAAAATAATTCAAAACCTGAGCATAAAACTTAAGAGTGAAACCCCAATATCTGTTAACGGACAGTTTGGTCATTTGTGTATGCACCAGCTAGAGCACACCCAGTAGCCACTTAGTCCACAAATATCCTGTATAAGCCACTCCAAGTATCCATAGCAGACCCTGAAGCAGATATAAGGAAGAATAAAAACTTACCCAATTTGTCGGTAAATGGAACAAAGTCCTGCTTGCTAGAAAGTGGTAACACTGACACTTTAATTGGTGCCACAACTGGTGGTAGTGAGAAGAAAGTTCGTTTGTCATCATCCTCACGGACTCTAAAGGTGAACAATAGACTTTAGCCATGAAATATTGATGTTTAACTTTGTAAATACTGTACGGATATTGGAAGGATTTACTGTATATTTTTTCACAGGAACTATTGTTTAAAAAATAAAGTAAAAAAAAAATAAAATATTACCTTGCTCATATCAGTAATATTCTACTAACTTCTACCCACGTCCTATTTTTTTTTGTACTGTACATTATATTATTTTCCAAGTATTATCCCAAGTGGCAGTCTGGCAAAGGATACACCATGAAGAATCAACTTTTCCAATACAGTATCCCTTCCTACATATTAATAATTCCTTTAATAAGATCCTGATATCATATCTAATCTTGCATCTAACAAAATAAAAGACCAGGGCAGTTACAAACCTAAAAGAATGTTCCAAGAGAGCATAAAAGACACGGCCTACACCAAATGAAGGTTCTATCACGCTTGGGACAACTTCTTCAACGTGGACCTTCTTTTGCTCTTTTTTAAAGCTAGGAACCATTGCTCGTGACAGTTTGTAACCATTCAGCTCATACTCTCTGAAACAATATAATGTTCAATAAAAATGTAAAGTGCTTTATCCACTCCTCTATAACTTGCATATTCTCCCTCTCCTGTAACAACACTGTCAACAAAGAATCAGAAATTTAATACAGTACCACATAACTCATCTGGGGTTGAGTTTGGGAATTTTTGTGAAAAATTATTACTTTACGATAATGTTTTATTAACCAGGTACAAAATGAACCTAAATAGTATGGGAATTATGGTAAAATTGCATAATACAGGTATTGTATTTATGAGGTCATAGGTGTCTGCCCTGCCTCCCGTGAATTTGCAACTCAAATTCATATTTTGTAAAATATCGAGACTCCACTGTACAAGTACAGGCTGTACCTCTCTAGTCAGGCAACCTCAGGACCTGACCGGTGCCGGACCATGGAAATTCACCCTTTTCCTGGATAGATAGTGACTTGTGCTTACGCTTGGAAGCACTAGCACCACTTTCTCTGTTTCATGGTCTCTTTGAAGACATATTGAAGGGTTAAATGTCGTACAGTAGCTTCTCAAATTTTGCGAGTTTTTGATTCAACGTTTTCTATTTGAAAACACAAAAAAACAACACATTTAAAAATTTTGACAGCGGAAATCGAATTTTGACGGGTTTGAACGGCCCACCAACGTTCAGATGTGCACAATCGTGTAAACAGCGTCATTTCTCTTATGTACAAAAGATTCATTATTGTTTATTACTGAAAGTCTTTTTGATTGAATTAATGTTTGTGAGTGCAAAATGAGCACTACAATTCATTAATAATACGTAGAATATTAAAACACGAGGAAATGAGACCGCATTGTTTTTGTTGATTACAAAACCAGTGACTGACTGGTTCTACATATAAAACTGAAGAAAATAAGACCCTGGTTGTAGCTATAGTAAAATTAATATGGTGGTTTTAAGTAATGTTATTTAATGTTAATAAATGGAACAATAGAAGTAGCTAACGATAATGGTAAAGAAAAAAAGAGAGATCGCGTATGTAAGTGCGCACACGTGAAAACATATCGTCATTACTTTACATAAGAATATGAAAGCAACACTTATTTACTGTTCATATATATTTTAATTAATGTTTCTGAATTTGTTTTTATTGAATTAATGTTTGTGTGTGCAAAATTAACAATACAATTTATTAATAATACGTGGAATATTAAAACACACGAGGAGACGAGACGGCTGCCGGCATTGTTTTTGTTAAAGCTTACAAAACCAGTGACTGATTGGTTCTACATATAAAACTGAAGAAAATAAGACCCTGATTGTAGCTGTAGTAAAATTAATGTAAAAAAATTAATATGGTTGTTTGAAGTACCTGTAATGTTATTTAATGTTAATAAATGGAACAATATAAGTAGCTAACCATTAATGGTAAAAAAAAAAGTGAGACTGCTCGTATGTAAGTGCGCACATGTGAAAACATATCGTCATTACTCTACATAAGAATATGAAAGCAACACTTATTTACTGCTCATATATATTGAAGGGTTAAATGTTGTACTCTGTATAGACAAGCAGAGAGAGAGAGCAGCCGAACTGCCGGATGTAAACAAACCTTAATTTCCTGCGACTTTTTTTTTTTTTAAGGGGATTAGCCCACCCGGGAATAGGTCACTGACCCACATTGGGGCCTGAGGGGCAAAAATTTAATACTCCTGTAATAATAATAATAATTCAGATAAGAAAAAAAAAAAAAAAAAAAAGCTGCCTATCTACCTATTGGACAAACTAAAATCGTTCCGGACCACGGGAGTTTCCGGACCACAGAATGCCGGACTAGAGAGGTACAACCTGTATTGCCAACACACTTCTCTGCTATCCTCAACTTTAAAAAAAATTACTTCATTAGGTAAATGGGAGCAGTGAATGTGCCGACTATGAACATTCGGTCAAACAATGACATAATCTCTCCCCCTCATGAATACGTGCACAAACACATCCATGAAACATTACAACTACAGCCTATCGTTCTTAACTAGAAGAGACATTAAATGTTATTTTGATGATAAGAAAGGAGCTTCACAACTTACTCAGATACTCATTGGCAATTTTCATCATGTTTGGGGGAAAACAATGTGATCCAACTGTATCTACATAAAAATAATACCTACCCATTTTCACTAAGGGCTTTATCCATCTTCTCTGATTCCTCAGAAGACAAAGATGCTAATGCTTCCTGCACAGCTTTTGCATCCTTTTTGAAAGCTTTGCCTATAGCTCCCTTGTCTGTCACAGCAACAACAGAGTCAACCATTTGGGGTTCCTTAAGGAGGCGTTCCACACACATTTTTACACCTGTAAGTTTACAGAAACACCATGACTAGAAAAAATATTGACGAAGGTAACAACAATGAATATAGAGCACCTAACAATAATTACATCTATGGAAATTATTGTTTTGAATAAAAGGGTTGGAGTGGGTGCACAAATCGTAGGTAAAATGAGAACACTACATTAATTTCTCCATTAGCTGGAATATTTGATCCCCAGAATTCTCCATTCCCCAGAATTTGTTTTGAGCATTCCAGGAAAAATTCTCTCTACTTTCCACTTTCCTGAAAATTCTGAGATAATCTCTCCATTACAGACATTCAAACAAATATTTGAGACTGCACCGTGTTCTGACACAAGGACGAATTGGTAGGTTAGCTGCCTGGGTAACTTAGGTCATAGGTTCATGAGCTGCAATTTGCTAATGCTGTCAGCTGACTGCATGAGATGCTTGTGATTAGCTGATTCATCTACCAGCCTATCTCCTCAAACCCTAGTATCATAATGTGCTTAGTTCATAGTCCATTGCAATTGTACAAGATTGTTCCCTTGCTCACTTCTGTTTTTTGCATAAGATTTGTGTTGTGAAATACTGTACATTACTGTACCAGGATAAAATCAGCCAAGAATAGTGATAAATCATAAACAGGAATTACAGTATATTGTTAATTTACATTCAGTAAGTGTGAGCACTGTATGTACAGTACTGTGCATAGAGTGGACAGTGTTTGCATACTGTAGTTTAGTGTACTGTACTTTACTGCACATGTACTATGCCACAAGCTACAGAAAAAACCTGTGGCACTAATGGGTCGAGGAGAGGCCCAACAAAAAGACTGTCCATAAAGGAAAATTTAGACATTCTAAACAAACTTGAAAAGAATGTGCCTGTGAAAGTGTTAATGGAGAAGTATGGAGTAGGCATGTCAGCCATTTATGATGTGAAATATGCCAAAGGAAAGCTGAGGAGGCAAGAACAGAAAGCTATGCAAGGCACAGGAGAGGAAGGTAGCTTCACCCATACTTGTGTGGGAAGCTTGAAATATGAGGAAGTTGTTAATGTGGTGTATGACTGGTACAAGCAGCAACGTGCCAGTGTTGTTCCAGTTCATGGCATTGAGCTCCATGATGCCGCATATCGATTTGACACCCTGCTGGAAATGCCTGACTTCTGAGGGAGCTTTGAGTGGTTCTAAGTTCTATAGGAGGCATGGGATAACCAACAAGTGTGTGGCTGGCGAGAGTGTTAGTGCTGATGTGGCAAGTGTCCAGCCATTCAGAGAGGAACTGCAATAATTCAACCATGAGAATGACATATAGAATGTATGAAATTTATAAAGTGGATGAGACAGGCCTCTATCTGAAGTCTCTGCTTAACAACATTGTTGTATGAAGACCTGAGAGCAGCACCCCTGGACTCTTGAGCTGTTTTATTTTTTCCATTTCTGTTTATATACTGTATGGTTAAATTTTTTTTCTCCCCCCCAAGCCTCAATGTGGGTTGGCAAGCTGTGCCCAGGTGGGCTAATCCCCATAAAAAAAAGGGCCAGCATGTGTCAAGTGCTGTTGTGTGCCAATGCTGCTGGAACCCACAAAATCAAACCAATGGTGGTGGAAAAACCCCAGAGGTCTAGAATGTTGTGCAATTCTATGGACAATTATCTTCCTGCATCTTGGCAGGAAAGGGCAGAGGCACCAAGCAAGAACACTTCAATCAACTGACCATGTGTAGAACCTAGTCCATGACCATATGACATCCTTACTCAAACTTTCAATGTGTATTAGTGCTAATATACACACATGAAATAACACAAGAATTATAGCAACTTACTAGATCCTTTGGTGTGCTGGGTGAGATCATAGGCACTTCTGTCTGCACACCCAACACATTCAATCCAACCATAAGAGGTAAGACACTCTGCATCCCAACAGTCACATGCATAATGAGCCATCTCATTACTTAAATGCTGCCGGAATCGTAGTTTCTTAGGATTGACACCAATCTTGAGGAGGTACTGCTGGATCCGCGCCATGAAATAACCTAAAGTTTCATTAGCTACCAATCCCTGGAAACAAGAAAAAGCATTGAGTAAGAGCATGATATCCTTTTTATACTAAAAGACCAAACAAATAAACCATCCACGAAGAAAATTTTCTTTGTACTGTATATACAAATGACAAAATAAAACATACAGGTAAACTTCGAGATACGATGGGGTTAGGTTCCTAAAAAAACATATCGCTAGGTGAATTATCGTAGATAGGGAGCTAGTCCCTTAACACACATGTATCGCTGACAAAACAATTCCTACAATACTACTATCAGCGCAAAACAATATAACACTCCTCATCGTGAAGAATAAGCATGATCACTACCGAAGGGTCAAGACGTACCTGGCGCTCCTCTCGGAGCAGTCAGGTCAACTGTTAAGTTGGCCCATACCAACCCCCTCCCCTGAACCCTCCTCCCCACCGGAATATCAACAAGTTCTCGCCAGAAATTACAATTTCATTCAGGAAAGGAACGGAACCAGTGTTAAACAGAGGTGAACAGTGGTGAACAGTGCTTAAGTCAGTGAGAACAACTCAACAGTAACAGTCGTACCCAAGTTAACCTTCACACAGTGAGGTCCCAGGTACCCAGTGATAACGGCCCGTGAGACCCAACAACAACCAGCGATGTGTTAATCCGTCTACGATAGGAAGGCCTAAGACCAAACCTCACTCATATAACACCATCTGTGAGGGAATTACTACACCACATGTCCCTCATAACACCATATGTGAGGGAATTACTACACCACGTCAAGTCCCTCATCACACCATCTGTGAGGGAATTACTACACCACGTGAGGCCCCTCATAACACCATCTGCGAGGGAATTACTACACCACGCCAGGTCCCTCATAACACCATCTGAGGGAACTACTACACCACGTGAGTTCCTCCTAACACCATCTGGGAGGGAGTTACTACACTACGAGTTTGCTGTTCAACACCTACATTAATCTGTATGTTCACTGTATGTTCCTTTACCTTTCTCTAATGAAGGCTTTTGTTAAACCACCAATGTATGTAATAAGTCATTTATGTCCAATGTATATTTTCAGCCTTCGGGCTGCAGAATTTTTTCAATAAACCGTTAATTATTATTATTATTATTATTATTATTATTATTATTATTTCCACTTCGAGGCTAAGGGGACTCTTGTAGGTGGACATCACTCTCTCACACAGTCACTGGGGAGTCTCATGCTGCTTCACTGTTGTCTTGGATGCCTTGGCCTTTCCAGACATTTTCAAAGTTACACTGCTCACTTCAGTCACAAGAACAGAACAAAAGCACTTGTCACAAAAACAGAACAAATGATAATGTAAAAACAATGAAAGCGGCCAACACTGCTTAAATTATAAAAAAGAAAAGAAAACAAGATAAGTACAATGTACAATGCTGGCTGTTAATCGTGGAGCCATGCAATGGCGGGTATATGATTCACAAAGAACCAAATGCGGCTGTAGTGCATGGGTTGGCCTTGTGGTGGCATGTGGGTAGGCTTACAAGTGACGGGAGAGATGCATCGTACATAGGGTTAAATATTGTTTCCTTATAAAATGTCAGACTTGACATAGAAAAATATAAATGGCATTGCTGGAATCCTTGCAAGACCACAATTAATTTGAGTACTGTATATACAACCCATAGTTTGCACTAGAGATAAAAAAAACAAAAACAATGGATATCGATGGTCATTCGATGGATATCGATATTTTTATAGTATATACCGGTAGCTCTCGAGATGGTCTTAATTTATGACCTTTGTTAAAGCGGAATATCGCTGATCGGGGTATCATATCTCGAGGTTTACCTGTACTGTACAGTATATTTCCACTGAAATAATAGAATTATGGCTAAAGGTGCTTTTCTTTCCCTTTGTCTCTTCTAATGCCCTTTTAAGAACTTTTCAAAATACTGTATTGTAAACGGTTCCTTCCTGACTTCTGGATTGCAGACAAAATAAAAAATAATTCATGTGTGCAAATCGTGTCAACACCTTCAAGTTAAAAACTATTTTACACAATTAAATCTTCCATCCAGACCATTTCACCTTGACAAAGTTGAAGACTATCTTATTTTTTTTGTCTTTATAAGTAATCAGAAGGCAGGAGGTGTACCTAAGGTATAAACAGTATATTATTGTTCCTACAAAAAAAAAGAGGGAAAATAAAGCTTTAACTCATACTATCTCCTTTCTGATACATGAAGTCATTACTACTGTAGAAGAGATGTCTCCATGCATAAAAAACTAACATAGTAGATGGTCACTCTTAAGAAACACAATTCCTGCCCTGTTTATTATGTAGCACTCAAATATGTAAGAAGACCTTCAAGGAGAAACCACCACGTAGTGTCAAAATGCTGATATATTGGATGAGGAAGACGAATTGAAGTCCATCATCTTTTTAGTGCAAATTAATGTGGCATGTACCAACACTTAATTTTTTACAAAAATAAAATACTGTATAGTGGTTTGTACAATCCTAAGTTGCAATGACAATGTGATTCCGCGAGTCGTGGTCCACTTAAAATGGATACTAGTTTCTACTTTAGCATTCTGGAGTAGCAGGTTTTATATTCAGAGACTACTTTCACTTTTCCATTATATATATATATATATATATATATATATATATATATATATATATATATATATATATACAACCTCATCCCGCCAGGACTCGAACCCACGATCTTATGTGTGTGACCGGGGAATGTTACCTCTAGACCACTAGGACACTAAAAGCAGTCCTAGACTTTGTTATACAGTATTTCACTGTTCATTGAGCTTATGGCGCTGTGAACCTCGAATAGGGGACTACCCGTGCCTCGTAAGTGATCAGAGTAACGTTTTGCCAAATCCGGCTTCGAAACACGAGGTTCCATATATATTTCATTAGCCCATAAAGCGCTCGGACTTCTACATATAATCAACAACCTAACCCCACCACGACACGAACTCACGATCTTAAGTGTGTGACCGGGGAACATTACCTCTAGACCACTAGGACACTAAAAGCAGTCCTAGACTGTTATATTTCACACAAAGCCTGTTCATCAAGCTTATGGGGCCGTAAAGCTCATTAGCGCTTTATGGGCTAATGGAGAAAGAAAGAAAAAAAATATATACTAACTAACTAAATCTATCTATCTATCTCAACATCTATCTATCTACATATATATATGTATATATGTCGTGAAAAAGACAAGTACGTTATATGCCACTTGGTAACGAGCAGATCTTTTGTACCATTATGTAGATTTTAATAATTCTATATTTTAGCAAAGATATACAGTGGTCCCTCGGTTAACGAGCACAATCCGTTCCAGCAGGTTGCTCGTTAGCCAAAAATCTCGTTAACCGAAACCATTGTTTCAATGGGTTTTTGGGTAATTGGTTCCAGCTCACCGAAAATTGCCTAAATTCAAATATTTTTTTTGAAATTGACACTTGCCTTGAGGTGTGTATGTAGAAGGCTCCTAGATGATGATGCTGATGTGAATTTGAAGTGGGAGGTGGAGAAGGGAGAAGAGAAGGAAGTGGAGGTGGAGGAGAAGCATTTTACTGCTGCTTGGAAGGTGAGTCACCTTCCATGAAAATGTCAAACCTCTGGACTGACATTTTCTCCACCATAAACATCCTCTCTCCTTCTTGAAGTGGAAGGCTGAGGGCTAGCATCATCCTCTCTCCTTTTTGAAGTGGAAGGCTGAGGGATAGCATCTTGTTCCCTCTGCATTTTACTGAAGAAAGTGTCAATTGTGGTCTGTGGGGTATCTCTCCTCCTCACTATTAACTTATGTTTAAAGAAGGAGACCATTGAGTCCTCAACATGACACAAAGTTAGTTCATTTTTTTCCACATCTTTGAAGCCAGTTCCCTGAACTTCTCCCAGTGGTAAAACACACCTTTCAACTCTTTAGTTGACATATGGTTATCACTTTCAATTTCCTCCTCACCACTGTCAGCCTTTAACATCTCATCCAGTTGCTTCAAGTCATCAGGAGTAAGTTCCTCCTCATGAGACATCACAAGCTCTTCGACATCATCCTCTTCCACTTCAAGGCCCAATGACTGACCAATGGACACAATCTCCTGATCCAACTCTGTTTCTCCCTCAAATCCCTCAAAACCATGGACTGCTGATGGCCACAGTGCTTTCCATGAAGAATTGAGGGATCTAGTGGAGACTTCTTGCCATGATGACACAATCAATTTTACAGCCTCCAGGATGTTGAATTGTGTCTTCCAGAACTGTTTCAGTGTTAGTTCAGGATCATTGGAAGTTGCCTGATGACACCTCCTAAACATTTTATTCATGTACAACTTCTTGAAGTTGTTGATCACATTCTGGTCCATTGGCTGTATGATTGATGTAGTGTTGGGAGGCGAAAACAACACTTTCACAAAGTCAAATTGATACTCCAAATTTCTGACAAATTCAGGGTCATGACCAGGAGCATTATCCATGAGGAGAAGAGCCTTTAAAGAGAGTTTATTGGTGGTTAGGTAGTTCTTGACAGAAGGGCAAAACACATCAACAGCCCATTCATTAAAGAGCTGTCTTGTCACCCATGCCTTACGGTTGGACTTCCAATAAACTCCAAGCTTTGTTCTTACCACTTTCTGTTGCTTGAACACCCTGGGGTTTTCAGAGTGGTAGACAAGCATAGGCTTCAGTCGGAAATCCCCTGAAGCATTGGCACCAAGCAATAGAGTGAGACGGTCTTTCATGGGTTTATGCCCAGGTAAAGAGGCTTCATCTCTGGTGATGAATGTTCTTTTGGGTATCTTTTTCCAGAACAGCCCAGTTTCATCCACATTGAACACTTGCTGTGGAAGATAATTTTCTTCTTCCATCAGTTCTTTAAATTCCACTAAAAACTTTGCTGCCCCTTCCTTATCAGCACTAGCAGCTTCACCAATCCTAACAACACTGAAAATGACACTTCTTTTCTTAAATTTTTCGAACCAGCCTTTGCTGGCCCGAAAATCTTCAAATTCTGTGCCTGAAGAACCAGGTTGATCTGTCTTTAAATGTTCATATATCTCCCTGGGTCTTTTACAAATGAATTCAGTAGAAACTGAATCACCTTTCATCTGTTTTTCCCTAATCCAGATGAGAAGTAACCTCTCAGTTTCTGCAATTAGGGATCTACTTTTAAACACTTTGGTAGATTTGTCTCTCACTTTCACTTCTTTAAATTTGTCTTTCTGTGCAAGAATTGTCGACACAGTTAATGTCGACATGCCATATTCTTTGCATAGCGCATTTGTTCTAATGCCTTATTCATGTTTTTTTTATAATTTCCTGCTTGGTTTGGATTGAAATCGCTTTTCTTGATCTCTTTGGCCCCATGCTGGATTCAAACAATGTCAACACGTGATCTTTTAAGTTTAAACTACTGTAGATGTAAGTAAAGAGTATTTTCTTTAAAATAACACTGCACTGCACTATATATTGTCAATATGTAAAATAAATTTCAAAATGACCAATAATTTGCTTGTAAACACAGAAAAAAAGCGTTTAGTTGAAGAGAGTCACAAGCAAGATGTTACCTCCACTGAAAATAGAGAGAGACTAACGCTTGTTTGGTGTGTTAAAAGGCTGGATGGCGCGCATAAAACTAGTGACTTTACCTTCAATTATGTTCAATAATTGTTAAAATGACAAAAAAAATTAATACTAAACTTTTAAAATTATTGAATAGTATAAACTTCTTGATATTTACTAAAATAGTAAGGAATTTAAGCCCTAAAACCGATTACTGTATTGGCGGACTAATAATACAGCTGGTTGACCACCAAGTGCAAGCAAAAACATGTTGAGGTCGGCTCGTAAGAAACTTGTTAACCGAAGTTAAGAATCTTATGGGAGGTAACTCATTTACCGAAATCTCGTTAACCGAGGCGCTCGTTAACCGAGGGATCACTGTACAGTACTTATACTCTAAAATAATGAGTGTTATAACAAAGTAACATTTTAAGAGGCATGCCTGTATATAAATAAAATAATCTCTTAAACTCTGATAACATTGGAGGCAGAACATGCAGCAGTCAGTAAATAGTTGCAAATCTTTTATCTTATATCCTGTACATGCAATTATAATACAGACAAACTGATGGTGAAAATCTATACTGGGTAATTATCTGTCACAAATCTGGAGCACAGCAAGTTGCCGATTTACATCAGGCCTATTAGTGTCGTTTCAATAAACTGTCAATGAAATTGGGAACAATTTCATATATACAATAAGTCATGACAATCCAATTTAAAATTTTTTTTTACTGTGAAGAACTCTAAAAACATTCAAAATGCAAGCCAGAATCAAAGTCCTATGGTATAATTGCCAGCTGAGCATTCAAACTGGGAATGCCACACCCCAAGTCACCGAGCCTACTTCAAGTGACTTTATTGACCAATCAGGGAATATGAAGTGATAATCCCCACAATTACTTAATGTAATCTTGGGTAAGCTGTTTATTTAAGTGCATTTCAGTGTGTTCTGTGTTAATTTGTCTCTAATATCTAGTCAAGTGAAGTTTAAATTAGGTTAAGATCCCAAAATTTGGCCTTGGAATGCAAACCCCAATTAGAACAAATTCAATAGAAAAAATGTGTCCAATTTATGCTGGTCCAATGTACATTGCATTTTCTAGGACCACATTGCCAATGTAAATCAGTGACTTGCTGTACTGTAGGACAGGCTGCTAAAGCAGGGCACTTCTAGAATGGTATCCCAGAATTCCATTTATTATATCTTGGTATTTTTGCAATTGAATTCAAGAGTTCTTCACTTGTATATGATGACTAATATTTATATTTCTAGAAGTATTTTACTATATCAACTAATAATTCCAAGACATAAACGAGATGCCTCAAGCTTGATAAGCACTGTAGTACCATAACTTCTACTGACACCATCCTGACTTGCCCTAAAATTCTCCTCTCTCACCGAGGAACTTCAAATCTGAAATTACACCTTTTGTCTACCACCAGTTAGCTGCTCCAGTGATCTTCTCTCTCCAGGGAAATTCAGTCTCTCGTTATGCCCAAAACTCTCTACGTGACGGTACCAGCGTGAGGCATGAGTAAAGTGTGGGGGAGGAGATTGGTTCAAAGCCTCACGAACGGTCACATCAGCTTGGGTTGGCAGATGCCCAAGAATGTAGCTTCGATCACTCAAGAAGAAATCCAGAGCACCCACTTCCATTGGAGTCGAGAGGAGACCCAACGATGGCAGCCCCAACTACCGACAGAGGGAGGGGAATAAAACTAAAGACCATCTCTTGAACTGTACTGTATATGTATCATTCCTAATACATGTTTACTGTAGCAGCCAGTATCTAATATACAGTACAGTACTTGTATAACCAGTATGTTGACAATCAATTTTAAGTACGAACAAATAGTTCCATAATATCTATACGCTGATTCTAATCCCAAAAATAATTAATCACCAGTGCAACTTAATTTAAATCTTATTACCAATGATACGGGCTTTAATTTCCCAAAACATGGTCATAATCTTGGGAAATTGTCATAATGAAAAAACAAAATCCTTAGATAAGAACTCAATAGCAGCAAATTGTACTTAATAAATCCCATAGGTCTATCCAGTTTATAAAATTATAAAAACTTTCAGCCTTTTCATTTTAAGTGAAATCACCATCTGCCTTTCAAGAAACTGACCCACTTAGCATCATTAAAGAAACTTCCCACTTACTATTCTCCCAATACAGTACTTTCAAAAATTAAAATTTCCAATGACATCCATGGATTGCATGCAACTTACAACCAAAAAATAACTTCTTTGTTATATCCAAGTGACAACATGCTGCAATAAAATACATTGAAGGTGCTCAAAATCAGTACCCATTTAGGTTTACTACTCACTTCACAATACATTATTAAATGATATTTTATCATTGCTGTTATTCTAACGATTGACATCTTTTTCTGAAATTATAAATAATTCCAAGGAAGTGGTACTTAACCCCTACACCCCAGGTGACGTTAGGGAACTCAAGCCTTTTCCTGCCACTGTTTAAATGCCCAGGGCGGGTTATCAGATTCCAGCATGACTATTTGGTGGTCACGCCACACGCAGGGTAGCATGGGTGAGCTGGGCTCAGTGTGGTTAGTACGCATTAGCCTGTCACCATGGAGAGTAGTTTGTCCATTTTATCATGTTGTATCAAAGTAATACTGCTAAAATTAGTGTAGTAGTATTACTGGAAAATAATACTATGATTATGTTGTATATGTATTTATTTGTGAAATTATTATTCTGATAATTATTTCTATGCATTACTTGCTCTACCAAGCACAAAAACAGCCAGACAGCCTGGTGACAGACTGCGTGTCTGTCGCCGAGCACTTTTTGTGAAAAATAATGCAAATAAAATATTATAAATTAATTATTTATTGGAAATAAGTATTATAATCAGTAAATATATGCATTACTGGCCATCCCGGACACAATGGCAAGCAGAAAATGGCCGATAAATGCGGAAGTGACCACGAGCGCTCGCTGTCAAAACAACACTGTCCCTTTATCTCCCTCCCTCGGCGCTGCCAGGGAAGTTTCTAGAGGGTCAATATACAGTGATCCCTCGGTTAACGAGCGCCTCGGTTAATGAGATTTCGGTTCACGATTTACCTTCCATAAGATTCTTAACTTCGGTTAACGAGCAATCCCTCGATTAACGAGTTTTTTACGAGCCGACTTCAACATGTTTTCGCTTACATTTCATGGTCCACCAGCTGTAGTAGTAGTCCGCCAATACAGTAATCGGTTTTAGGGCTTAAATTCCTTACTATTTTAGTAAATATCAAGAAATTTATACTATTCAATAATTTTAAAAGTTTAATATTAACTTTTTTAGTCATTTTAACAATTATTGAACATAATTGAAGGTAAAGAAACTAGTTTCTGGCGTGCCATCCAGCGTGTTAACACACCAGACAGGCGTTAGTCTCTCTCTGTTTTCAGTGGAGGTAACATCTTGCTTGAGACCCTCTTCAACTAAACGCTGTTTTTCTGTGTTTCCAAGCAAATTATTGGTCATTTTGAAATTTATTTTACATATTGACAATATATAACGCAGTGCAGTGTTGATTTAAAGAAAATAATCTTGAATTACACCAAGAGAACTAAAATTTTATGGGTGAAATGGTGCCATGGGGTGACTTCATTTCACCCCAATGCCTTCTCTTCTCCCTTCTCCTCCACCCCCATTCTAATTCCCATCATCATCATCATCCAGGAGCCTTCTACATACACACCTCAAAGTAAGTGTACTTTTCTACCTTTTTTGTTAAATTTAGGCAATTTTCGGTGAGCTGGAACCAATTACCCAAAAACCCATTGAAACAATGGTTTCGGTTAATGAGTTTTTCGGTTAACGAGCAACCTGCTGGAACGGATTGTGCTCGTTAACCGAGGGACCACTGTATAGTTTTTCTTACTTCTTTTTTATTGTTTTATCATTTAAAAAGGGTAAAAATATTTTTGGAATACAGTCTCTCCTCGACTTACGACGGGGTTCCGTCCCGACGACCAAGTCATAAGTCGAAAAGGCGAAAATAATACAGTACATTAAAATTCTAAAATGGGCGTCTCTTTTTCTTCTCAGTACCACGAGAACTCTTACTTTTACTCTTGCCAGCCATTTTAAAGAGAATTACAAACAAAAATTTTGTCAGTACACAGCGCAATCACTAACGTTGGTACTAGAAAATACGTAATTTGATAAATATTTTATACAACCACGGCGGTCGTACGTACGGGTTGTCGTAAGTCGAGGAGTACCTGCAGTTGACTTTTCTTGATTTACCCAGCTTGGGGGGGTACGGCCAGCGGCACCCTGGCCCGGTGCGTATGTGAAAGTATTCATGAAATGCTGCCAAATATAATTTCAAAATCTAAAAGCTAAAGCATTAGGACAGATAGCAGTGTGGTAGCAAAGCAAACAAGCGGATGTTGGAAATTGTATTCTCAACATGCTTCGACCTTACAGTCTTCCTCAGAGTAAATGATACATCAAAATCATGCTACTAATTCAAATCTTGCAATTCCAGAAACAGGGTGGAGCTACATCGGGTCCTTTGATTGGTCTGCTGCCACTGCGACCTCTTCCACGACCCTCCAATCATGTGTTGTCATTTTCCTTGCTGCGTTGGTCCTCAACATGCAGTCTGACTTTGTGTTAAGTTGCAAGGTGATGTGAATTGATTCCAAAGCTTCCCTGATCTTATCTACGCCTTGGTGTATAATTCTTGACCCACTCCACCAGGGCAAATGTCCTTCATTGTCTGTGTGGGCAACTAGCGAGTTTTTGAGTGTTATGACAAACATCAGCCTTGTGCTCAATGGTTCTTGTGGAACACCCGTATCCGGTTTCTCCAAAATAAAATTTGCTGCAGCCACTTAACGCCTCAGCCTCAGTTCACGTCATATGAGGTTTTGTAATTTCGTGGTATGGTTTGAATCATTACTGGGTAGATTTTGTTGCCAAGTAGGCATTTATCTTATGCAATCCTCCTAGTCTCCTTTCTTATCTCAGCTTTAGTGATATAAGGATCTTGCCCTTGGACTTCACATGCCTCACTACCTACCTTTTTCAAACCACCAGCCACCAAGGGCAAGTGTACAGTAGTTGGGGACTCTTGACGACCATGAGCAGATTCATGATCAATTACTGGAGTTAATAATAAGGACTGTAAATAGTAATAAAATAGTAAAACAAGTGTCCTGTACATCATTCTGCCAATAAATTAGTATTGTTTATCTTGTATTGCCAACCTCACCCAACTGCACCACACAGACACCATGATGCCAACCTGTGGTAAGGATATGCATTTCTTTACTGTTTATATCATGCTTGATCAGTTTGTAAGATTATACTATAATTGTTTTCCCCCCAAATATACCTGTTGGGTGGGGGAAGGGGGGGGGTGCATGCTTACCATAGCCTGGTATGCTTATCTTGTTCTTCCTCATCTTCACCAGGTTGCCTACCTTCATCCAAGACATTGTAAATATTCTTGATGATGATGTATGTATTTTTCTGTCTATTATTTGTTTGTAAAAAACGGAGTTGGGAACCACCATATATCTTCCCCCATTGATGTTTTTAATGCTGTTAGTGCCTCTGTTAACCCTCTCGCACACAAGATAAGTTTTAAGTTTTCCAGTTCCAAGATCACATCCATCTCTGAGGCCCACAGGGCAGGCGAGACTGCACACGGTGAATGTCCTTTTTTTTCATTTTTGCTTTGTCAATGTACCCCCCAAAACATGTTTTTATTGGCATAAACCATATATCTTTGGCTTCATAACTGATTGCTCTGTAACATAAGCATCATAATAATAATAATAATAATAATAATAATAATAATAATACAGGTATATAGCTATTTTTCATCACTTCTAATAAACGTGAGAAAAAATACACACCAATACGTTCACAATCTGCTAGCTCAAAACTGTCAGAGCCAAATGTTTAAGTACTATACACTGCAAGAAGTGGAATTTTATGAGCTTTCCAATGTATTAATCATATTTCTGATATCACTAATATTTTTTGAGAAAATAGCAAAAATATGATTCTCAAATGGTAAAATAATTTATTTTCCTTTTCAATTATTTTTGTGCCCATGTTGTGTATCAATATTAATTATATTGCATCTTGTAGCCAACACTATAACAAAGAGAATAGTACTGATAAAATTCATTTAAGTCTCGGTTTTTTTGGGGGGGCATATTTTTTAATACTGTACCAAAAATTCCATGTTTCTTTCAGGAGACTTACCTTGGTAGCATTAAATTTTTAGCAACAGGGCATCCATGAAAATTTTCAGACATTGAAGTTTTCTATATAGCAATGAGGTATGGACAACCAATAACAGCCCTAGATAAACAAAATACAATAAAGAATTACTTCAGGCTATGATTTTTCAGCATTATCCACACGTTTCACACTCAACAATGTGAAAAAAGAAAGAAAAAAAGACTAAACTTGCAATGAAAAAAAAAAACTTACTCCACGAACAGCTTCGCCAATAGTAGTTCTCTTTGCAGATTCTCCATCCATTTGAGCACACGCTGAATAGAGTGTCACCTCCACACCTGCAACCTTTGGGGAAAAGTAGTCATTGAAGAAATCTTATGATACAGATCAATAAATGATTTATATATATCCTTAAACAAGTCACACAAGAATAAACAAGGATAATTTTTTTTAAATGTAACCTAACACCTGTACAAATTATATTTCACAACCTAAAATACAAATGCACTTCAGAAATAAAGAAAAAGAAAATAAGATGTTTTTTCAAGTTGCAAGTAAATTTTAAATACAGTACAGTATATTTATGATCTCAGCAGAGAGGGATATACCAAATATAAAAACAAACCAAAAAATTGAAACTACTGTACTAAACATTTTATCAAGCTAAGACTATAGATTATCTAAAAAATTCTCATACTGTATTTCTGTATAAACTCGAATACAGTTCAAATTTTTTTGATCAAATTTTTATACAAGTAGGGGGTCAAACAATATATGCAGAGTATTTTTAAGGGGTTTAAAATTCATGCATTTTCAGGGGTCATTTACAGCTAATAATAATTACCCAGAACATGCTTTCGGTAGGCTAGCCTTACCAGTAAGCTCCTTCAACCTGGGCTTGCCTACCATAACCTAAATTCTTTCTCTGTGTTGTTACAAGAAAAACAGAACTTCATTCACCATACAGTATAAACTGCTTTAAATACCTAATACAAATAAAGATTTTTAGATAATGTTCTGATCATTTGCATTTGTCAACATCACTGGCAGCACTGTTGCCATGTTAGACTCATAATTGTAGCTACATCCCCATAGCCCTATCCCTATCAGGCCTAGCTGTGAGGTGTTATGGTTATTTTTCAACTCCTAGTTTCAGGTAAATATACTTTTTTTTTTATGTGCACACAATCCTACATACAAAGTGTGAAAAAAACGGCAAAAGAAAAAATTATCATAAGGTCAAACACAAAGGAATAAATATATCTTTGCACAAGAGAGTTAGCAGATTGAGCAAGGGAGCAGAGAGTAAAAAAACAGATGACACAGCCATTATCTAAGCTTGATATATTACTCCGCTAGCACTATACTGTATATGGCGAGTCATTTAAAAAACAAAGTATTTGTAAGTAACATTTAATTAATTAGAAATTACTAACCTGGCTGAACTTATTGTGGCTCTTATCATCGGGATCACAGAAATGTTCGATCTCAGCCATCGTAAACTCTCTTACTCGAAGAAGACCCGAGCGAGGTGAAATTTCATTACGATAAGCATTGCCCACCTGTTAAGTGATAAAAATGCTATTACATGTATTACAAACCCTTAAATTTCATAAATGGGAAATAATCACTGGATGGAAAGGAAAAATGTAATGGAGTAAAAACATTAAAAATACAAACTACTGTACAAGTAAGGCAGTGAGTGAAACGATAAGGAGTTGAAGTGAAACCGCAAATAAACATCTACAGAAAATGTCAGACTCAAAAACTGAGAGCAGGTGCAGCTAAATATAACAACAATGACTGTTGCACTGCTTAAGGGTAAATGCATAGAGTAATCATCATTATCAATGTTTTTAAGACCATTTTTCATGCATGTGTAGATTAGCTATGAAAAGTGAACAAAATAATTATATCAAATTCACAATCATGCTTTTCAGTCAATCAGCTGGAAAAATACATATGATCATATAGTAATTGCATTACTCCACTTGGTCACCAGCATTGTCTGATGCTTTAAACATTTAAACAGCTATTCCAGAGCTACCAGTAGTCCTTCCATTCTATATTTTGTCAACTGCTTCTTCACTCATTCTCCTTCAATAACCTGAAATGATCCCTGTCTGGCTCTGCTGCTTCTAGGCTAACCTTTGTCCAGGTTGAATGCCTCAATCAACAGTCAATAGTAGTTGTTTCTCCAAGAACCCTTAATTTCCTCATAAACAACAACCACATTTCAATCATCTCTTCTTAAGCACTGTTCGCCAACTACATCATTGATTTTACTCACTAATGTGCCTTGCTACAGGTGTTGACTATTATAGGATGGGATTAGGAACTTTGAAAAGCCATCGTAAGGTGATCGATCACATATTGATATTAATAACTAATGGGTTCTTTTCCCGAGACCCCGAAGAAGCCAGAGTTATCACTCGGAGCAGTTATATTTTAACTCATAATTTCAGGTAGACACGTGATTTTTATTATTGTTATTATTTTTTAAACTGCTACAAGCACACACATTCATACAAAATGTGCAAAACATAATTATAAAATAATTATTATCAGGGAATCAGGGAAAACCTATGTTATAGTTATTTTCAACTCGTAATTTGAGTACATATACTGTACATAATTTCATTTTTCCTGTTACATGCACATATGATCTTCCATAAAGAATGTGCAATTTTTAAAAAATATAATTATCATAAGGCCAAAAACATAAAGGGAAGAAACATTTTGTACATTTGAGAAAGTAAACACATGTAGTGGGGGATGGGGAAGGGAAGGGAAGGGAAGGGAAGGGAAGGGAAGGGAAGGGAGGGGGGGGTAGCGTGGGATATCTCGGCTCGCTCACTCGTGTCCCGTGTGTAATGACAAGATTACCAAATGGCAACGCAGCATTTTATTCTTTTATTTAATCTATTATTACTCTTTTTTTTGTCACATTTACTGGTACAGTATACAGGTGCAGTGTATATTATTTTATGTACAAAGAGTAGCTTGTACCAAATGCAAACCATTCTCTGGGATACGTGACCCAGTTCAACTGCTCAGCCTGGCAGTCACTGGGGATGGGCAGAGCCTTCCATGCATCCCGGGTGGGTTGCATCACCATACCTCGTAATATTACCAGTTATTACACATCACTTTTTCATAGCAGTGACAATGCAGAAAAAACATTCAGATAGTGACCATCGTAAAGGTGATCTTTAGGCATCACATATAGGTATACGATGTTAAATTTTTAACACCGTAAAATTGATCGATCACATAGATATCCATCGTATAATGGTCAACACCTGTATTGTGTATACCTTATCTCCAGCATTTACAGTACCCAGCTTATGCCATCATAAAAATCAAATTCATTACATTTCCTTTAGTAGGTCTAGTAAAAATTATCAAATTAATGTACTTTAATCAGCTATTATCCACTTATCCATTCTAATAATTTTATCTCAGAAAAATGTTTCCATCACAGGGAACTAGCACATTTTCATCAGGAAACAAAATTACTGCATTACATCTTTCAGTCCATTGGATCTTTTAATGGTCAGTGAAATCAGCTTGGGGTCATAAGGAAATTGAGTAAACTGGGAAGCAGCAGTGTGGGCCTGAGACCTGTTGCTCCTCTAAAAGTAAAGTAAAAAAGTGTAGGAGAATTACAAGTGTGAAAGTATGAGCACAAAATTAGAGGAAAGATGATTTAACATAATATACTGCATGTACTTACCTGAGCACATGCAAAAGGCAATTTTCCTTGATTATATTCCAACAATCGCTTGAAATTAACAAAAATACCCTGAGCTGTTTCTGGTCTCAAGAAGCCTTTCAGGGTGCCTGCAAAAGAAAAAATTTAATGAAAGTTGAGAATGTACTGTATTGTCAATAAGACTTAATAATTATCAGTTCTAATTACAGTGTAGTTTTTATTTTATTTACTAACTGACTAGTCTAAGTCACCCATACAGGATATAAAACATAAAATAAGAAAACATCAAGCACTTGATAACTCTGCAAACTGATACTAAATGAATATTAAAATTTAATATCCCCTGAGGCACCCAAAAGCTAAGTCATAATCATTTATGAATTATATCTAATTCACCAACCTAATATAATGTATAGTACACACTCTCAAAAAAGTATCTATATAATTTTGTGTTAGACAGAATAATGAAGGACAAAGAATTTTGACAAACCTACCGAGACAATAAGAGTCGGTGTTCATTTTGAAATTGATCAGACCCCTCCATAAAGATACTTTATGGAGTGCATGTACAAATAATTCAGAGATAATTTTTTTATGTAACAGCACTGTAATGAGCCCCAATACTTAACAAAACCATAGTCCTGGTACTGTACATACTTCAACTACCTGAAGTTGAACAATTTCTGATGAAACAAAAGTATCTACCTAGAACAAAAAATCTTACTTTACACCCTCTCAGTTGGCAGAAAAGTTAAAAACTCTCCCAATTCAAAATGAAGCCACATAATGCAATCTAAGTAAGTCCAACACGAGTCCTCCCAGGTATACAATATGCCCATTAGCACCAATTCTGAAACATGTTTACTGAGAACGAGGAAGTTGATTATTTTATAATATTTTATCAACTGTGCACCAAATGAACCTAAATAATATGGGAGTTATGGTGAAATTTCATAAAGATGTGTTAAATGGATCCTGGGGGAAGAGGGAGCTACTGTAATGGATCCTCTCCCCTACAACTCCCAACTGAGCTCCGGCCGCGCACCTACCAGCCAATCAGAGTACAGCCAGCTACGCCGAGAGACTAGGTCTATGCAGTGGACGTAGGGGTACGATCGCCGACCTAGTCTCGATCTTCAACCTCCAGCTCAGGATCAGTGTGTTTCACACCTTACGCTTAAGCCGCTGTGATTGGCCCTCTCGCTACGCTCACCCCAAATCCTGATCCTCGTAAATTGTATAAATACGGCCATGCCTGGCCAGGGAGACCATTCTACAGTCGTTTACCGGCCCAGCAACATCTCTCACAGCTCCTCACCACCCAGCTTCCTCAGAAACCTCCTCGCCCTACAGGACCTCTGAGCAAGCTTCTCCTCACCTAGTCACTCCTAAGCACTGCACTGTACAACAATATATATACAGAAAGTGCATTGTGAGTTTCCTTCCTCCATCCCATCCTGAGTGTGAACACAAACACAAATTATACCCCACACTACCACCTGTGCTGCCTCCCGCCTGTTGCTCCTAGATACATTCTTATCTTTCACACACAATATATCCCTACACTCTTATTTATTTCTTATTTATATATTTATAGAACTGAACAGTATACAGTTTTCTCCTTATTCATAAGGCAAATTCTGTATTTACTTACAAATAACACTTTATAGTACAAAACAATTGTATTGGTGAAAACAGCTGTCGACAACCAAACTTAGTCTGAATTTCAACCAAGAGAGTAATAACATAATAATGGATTTTCTTGAAACAGTCCAGATAAGCAATGTTATGTCTACACTTCCCCCAAAGACTCACTTTTTTCAGAGTGGAATCTGTCCCAATTAGTCCGGTGCATTGAGGTACAGTACTACTGTATTTGGAACTTCAAAAACAAGTAGCATCAACTAGCCATAAGATAGTCTAAATCTGGTAGATCGAGTCCCATCCTTATACAGTAATAGCCACTGAAATAATTTCCTGGTGGCTAAATGTCTGGTTATTCCAATTACAAACCTGTAGGTCCAATGCAAATGGGGAACATAAGGTTGAATTCCACAGCATCAGAAAGGTCATTTCCCGTCAAAGGAGATTTCATGTCATATTCCTTAACTACGCCATCCATCTCTTCCTGTCAGGCAAAAATACAAACATCTAAAACTATAGCTTATGTAGATGCCAAAAAAATTCTTTGTGAAGTTTATATGGCATATTATTGTTTGTTTACCTATGCTTAGGAAACAAAAGAGCTGTGGTAAGCAAAAGTACAAGTCAATTATGATGGTAATGGAATGCAACAATGAGCTGTGAAATGAAATACTTGGAGGAAAAGAAAATGCAAATTAAATAACCCAAAAAGCTGAGAAAACATTTTCTGTATTTTCATAGGGACAGAAAATAAATAGGACTTATTTACAAAGGATTCCTGCAACAAACTTGTACAGTTATTAATTCAGTAAAATTGCAATTAAATCAATGTATGTCATTTTGGGGAGGATCTTTTTATTAGGCAATTTTTTTTTTCCTGTACAAAAACTCAAATATAAATTAAATTTTATCATCAATCTCAAATGTTTATACTGTATATACAGTACAATGGTCTCTGCAATTGTGAGACTTGACAGTTTAAGATTAAAAAATGTAACAAATTTATTTGTACCCTTATTTCAAATAGATAAGGGATCCTTAGATGTTTCAAGCAATTTTCATAGGCATCCAGTGAAGACATCAAAAAGTCAAACCCCATACAACATCAATCCCACAGAATGTGGTCACTTAGCAGGGGTAGATCCAGGAATATCAAAAGGGGAAGGTCCAAGAAGTTGTGGGTGGGGGAACATGGCAAGCAGAGCATGCCCACCCAGATGGGGGGTTTTGGAGGGCACTGAAAGCCCCCCCCCCCTCCCCCCACCCCCAAAGAATTTTTTTTTAAATCTGACCAACATATTACTAGACAACAAATAAAAACAAAAAATCCATAACATGGTTCAGAGCAGTTTCCTTTTGGTAATTTTGAAGTGCTGATTTAAAATCTGGCAATAAAAATTCTCGGGCACATACAGTTTATTTGTTATACAGAAAATTAAATCTTACAAATACAGAAACTGAAAAATACTAATTTTCCCGTTATTCCTGTTACTTTTTCCACGTCATCACACTAAAATTCAATAAAGAATGAAAACAATCATAAGACACAAAAAGTATTAAATTAGCCACTGCATAGGCATTTGTTATTTTATTTCATCCTTTTGTGTTGTATTGTCCTCCGATTGTAAACACCAGCAATAGTTCCCCATCATGGCAGGATCCCATCTACCCTGGTACCTTCCCTCCATATGTCTAATGTCCTGATGAAATCACTCTCCCTGTTCATCACTAACCGCCCCCAGATTCTCAGGAAAAAAGTCCAAGTGCGAGTTGGCAATAGTTTTCTTCCTTCTTGTTTTCAAGAAACCCTTGACTAAAGGTGTGAAGGATTTCCATGCAGCAAACTCATTTTCATTCAGTTTGTTTTCAAAGTCGTCATCACGAAGTAACTTTCTTATCTGTGGGCCACCCAAGGATACCCTCTTTGACTTTAGCATTACTGAGCTGTGGGAATTTTCCCCTCAAGTACACAAACCTATCACCTTGTTTATCCAAAACCTTCACAAAATTCTTCATTAGTCCCAGCTTGATGTGTAAAGGAGGTAGAAGTACATCGTTTGGGTCTAACAAGGGAATATATTTAACGTTGCTTTTTCCTGTAACAGACTCTTCTCTCTTTGGCCAGTCCTGTGTGTTGTAGTGTTTTTCTGTTGCTCTGTTCCATAAACACAGAAAACAGCAATATTTCGTGAACCCTCCTTGAAGGCCGAGTAAAATGCCTATAACCTTCAAATCGCTGCAGTTCTGCCATCTATACTCCTTGTTTTTAATAGTGGTCAGTATTTTATCCATACTATTATATGTTTCCTTCAAACCTACAGAATGCACTACTGGAACTGAGGGCTTCTGATTCCCATTATGCAACAATACTGCTTTCAAACTAAACTTGGAGGAATCTATGAAAAGCTGCCATTCCTTTGGGTCATGTTTTTCTACCAACTCTGACATCAGTCCATTTACATCAGTACACAAGCAGAGGGAATCCTGCATTCTGTACAGTGAGGTTAGGGACAGCATTTCCTCCTACTTGCTGTTCAGCAATGCCAACCTTGCATTTAATATATCCCTACCAACACAAGTACGTATCTCACATTCCTACACTACATATACACAAATATGTTATGTGACTGACATTTTATATTGCCATATTTGAAATCAGCACCCCAAAATTAATATAGTGCAGCATATTTGATCCATGTTACCGAACCCTTGTCAACTAGTGATCAGCATTTTGAGGCCATTTTAAAGCCATGTGCACTTGATATTAGGAGATATTCTGAGGTCAATGGTAATTATTTTTTACTATACAAAAATTCTTTAGTACAATACTGCACAAAAAAAAAAATTCTGATGAATAAGGGAGGGGTTCCAGACCTCCCCTGATCTGCCCGTGCGCAGTGCACAGACAAACATCTGCCAGCCACCTTGGACATGCCCGTGTGGGACCAGTCTTTCACCAAATCTCTTGTCAAGCCAATACTGTAAGGGGATTCTTACCATTGTCATTCCCTCTAGCAAATTTATTTTGCGCTTTATTATCTCTTTCTCTTCCTGAGAAGTTTTCTTGTCGGCCATCTTCTTCTCAAAGTGCTGTTTGATAAGATGGTCCAGACGGAAACACTCTCCACTCTTTACATCCTGCAATATGCAAAATATACTATTTATAAAACATTGTTTTAATTAAAGGGTCATGATATTTCAAAGAAAAAGTATACTGTATTTCATACACCAGGACAACGATTATAAATCTCACTGCTCAATTATTTTTAAGATAAACGCTCTGTAATGGTTCTGTAATGGTACAGCACAGAGTAATTTTTCTTACCAAATACCTGTACAACAATCACCCATGGCATCACATAACACTAGAAAACTCTCACTGGCAGTCTTGGTGACTTATTGTACATATTTTCACACTTAAAAGCAATATAACTAAAAAAAATCAGTAACTATTTATGCATCTTACTTTGCACTCCCTCGAGAGACATAGAGCGAGGGGCGACCTGATAGAGGTGTATAAGTGGAAGGCAGGGCTAAACAAAGGGGACATTACAAAGGTACTCAAACTATCCAACCAGGAGCGAACTCGTAACAATGGTTTTAAATTAGACAAATTTAGATTTAGGCGTGAAATAGGTAAACACTGGTTTGGAAACATAGTGGATGATTGGAACAAGTTACCAAATATCATCATTAACTCGAATACGCTGAATAGCTTCAAATAGGGGTTGGGTGTAAACGGGACTGCCCAGTATGGGCCAATAGGCCCGCTGCAGTTTCCTCCATTCTTATGTTCTTATATCCACCAGAAATTTGATATTTTAATCTGCTTGCTGTAAGTCCAGTATAAATAGCAGGATATAGATCAGTGATTCTCAACCTGGATGGTAGCACCCCCCAGGGGGCATTTGCCACCTGTTCCATGAAAGGGGGGTGCTGAAATGAGAAAGGTTGGAAACCACTGGTGTAGATAAATGCTCTGGACAACACTCCCTACATAATACAAATCTCTGCAGTTCTTAAAAGTTGTATGAAATTGCCTAAATGAATAGCTAGTGTATAAATGTGATTCTTGAGTTGCTATAACAGCAACAGTCAGAATTCTTATAGACAGACAATCTAACAGATTTTGTCATTAAAATTGGCTCATAAATTGATATACTGTACACAAAAAAGGAAAATTGAAGCATATCCAAGGGTATGAAATAAGTGACCTATAAGATTTTGCCCAAAATAACACCTCTTCCCAGAGCCTGTCTTGGCCAAGAGATTTGTCTTGTCTGGTAGTAGGCTGCACTGCTTTCAAGATAATGTAAATTACTATATATAGCAGGTCCTTGTCCAGTGAACCAAAGGTGAATTTGTGCTTCAAACTTCTAGCCAAATGGTCGATTCAAAAGTCAACTAGGATTCAAATTCACCGAGGCAAACCTCACTGGGAAACTTCCCTCTTATCTTAATATTCTAGTCAACTATGCATTATAGTTTAAGTGCTTCGATTCTCATATCCTATGCTGATACAAAACCCCACCAAGAGATGAAGGATATAAATCAGGTCACTCATCTCATACCCTTAGCTACAGAGTACAACTTTTAATGTTAAACTCAAAGATTTTACACATCCAACTCCATCATAATATGCAAAACCATCATCAGTTCCAAATGTAAAATGAATCCGCTTCCAAAACCGAATACAGTATATCAACCACCTAGATGGCAGCTGTTCTAGCATGGGATAATGAAATGAGTCTCCTGGAACAAAATTCAGATTAAATTAGAGATAAATTCCTTAAATAAAGGATCCAAGGATATTAAAGCTCTTTTCTGGATACAACTGGCCAATACTGTACTCAAAGATGACAATAATACTGTGGTGGTTGTGGGCGGCAGTGGTGGTCCGAAAGTTACCGGCTGCCTCGACCACCACCTTGGACTGTATGCGTAAGAAGGAGAGTTAAAGTGTTGGCGACAGATGAGGTGGGCACCACCTGTAACTCACCCCACACAGACCTCTTGCCCCTAAAGATCTGTCTGGATAATCAATTATTATTGTCATTTTTAGTGAAGCTGAGCTGCGTTGGAACGTCATGACCTTGTTTACATGGGTCGTACTTCCAGCTTTTTAATCTGCCATTTTAGTGTTGTTTTAAATTAATAAAATATTTTATGCAAGAGAACCTATAATATTTTCATGCTAACCTGGCCCATTAACCATGCACCTTTTCTAAAAAAATAACAGATTGGTTCATAGAAAATGTTCGAGTAGCTGTCCATTTATTCAAACTAAATGTGTTCACAATTGGTAAGCAGACCTGTTATTCTCTAAAATAATGTTAAATATCTGGAACATCAAAATGAAAATCATTTCAAAGCATTAGCACTTAAGAGAGAATGTTAGATATTTATCATAAAAGGTCAAAGATGAAATTCACTTTTGAATGAAGCCTTTTAATTATTATTTTTTGCTTTGTACCAAACATAAAGCAAACAGAAACAAATGATACCAAAAATATAGTACTTCAGTAGAACGTTGATATAACACGAGATATGTTCCAAGAGAGGTTGCTTTAAACCGAATTAGCACTAAATCGAAGTGTTGTTTCAAAGGAATAATTTAGTTTGGTACTTGAGAGACACACAAAATACTAAAAAGACTGAGAGTCTACTCAGATGTACCTCAGCCCATCTCCTAGAATAAACAAAACATTGTTTTTTGTAGTATTATGTTAAAACAAACACTCATAAATCAACAGCTAAAATTATGGAATGCAAAATGGTCTGTGTACAGTACTAGCAATCAGCTGATGTTTGGGGGTCGCGTGGGCCATGGCGCTGCCACGCAGATTTGCCAACTCTGTCCTTTTAAGGACAGTCTGTCCTCTTTTGAGATACGTTTGTCCTTTATTGTCAAAATAAAAAAGGACAAATTCACAAATTCATCCCCCCACATGCATAAATCATATCACCCAACAAAATGAGATAAATTATTCAACAAAATGGGCTCCAAACAAGAAGGTTATTAGTTAATCCCTAATAACTATTGATTGTGAAAACCTTGAATTCATCATCACCATTACACAAAGATAATGGGCAAGTTAACATTTGCCTGTTCATCTAATCTTTTACCCCTTCCCTTCATCTCAATCAAGTGATCTAATCAAACCCCAAAACAGGGTTCAGAGATCAATGTAATTACCTTGCAACTTCAGGGATATGAATCTTTTCTTAAATGGTCACAAAAAAGGTTCAATTAATTCGTATTAATAAACCTAATAAATAATTTCTAAGATTCAGGCACCATACTTCACAAGTATTGTCACACTGACACAGTAATTCATGGTACCTGCAAAGTTTTCTTATGGCCAGGGGATTGTCCGTGGGCCTTAAACCTCGTTCAATTTTAAAGCAATCACCAGGCTAGGAGTCTGATGCACCGGCTTCATATTGGTTTGGTAGATAAGGAGCAGAATTAGAGCAATTTACATTGATCAGTTAAAAAGTGTAACCTTTGACTGGACAAGTCAAGCTTCCCCTGGACACAACAGACTCTGCCAGGGGGTTGATCTTGATAGCAGAATCTCACAGGTCACTTGGTGTTATAGAATAATAGGTAAGTTATCAACTACTGATTAGTTACTTCTACCCATTGATATTTCAAGATGTCCTAAATTTGCTTAACAAATTATATTAGAAAACAGTACACCCACCTTAACCATGTAATCTGCAAACTTATCTACATGCCCAGAAGCCTTCAAGACTGTTTCAGGTGTGAGGATGGAACAATTGACCTTCAACATACGCTCTTGGATTACAAAATGTTTATGCCATTCTGCAAGCATGTTGTCTACCAGGTCACAACCCATTGGTCCAAAGTCATACTGCCCTGTTCAAATGGTAGTTAACTATTATTATACGTTATAAAATTTGAAATGAAAACAAACTAAGCTTATTGTCCTGTGAAACAATAAGGAAAAACAAGAGTGAATACAGCCATTCATCAAGTAAATTACCCTACAATCAGCAGGTTACACTTTAAGTAGGTTTGATTTGTTTGTGTGATACAGTATTTAAAAAATGTCAACTCTTAAATTTGTAACTCTAAATAGTTATCTAAAAAACAACAACAAGTGTACAAGATGATCCTCATGGCAATTAATTCTACTGTACTGTACTCACATACCTGTAATTCCACCATAAATGGCAAAGGAGTTGTCATAAAAGAAGCGGCGTTTGATCAGATCATTCATCTTGGCTCGGTCAAAGGAGTCAGGTGGGCTGAGCTTGAGTGTCATGTCCTCCAATTCCTGAGTTGATATTAATAGATTTGCATTACATAAACAGAATATAGTTCTTTGTTCTTTACATCATTACCATAATACTGTAATAGTTACACTGATGTAACAGAGGAGTGTTTATACTTTACATGTGATAATAAATAATACAAATTCATGGGTATCTCTATTACTACAGTATGTTATATTTATTTATTTATTTATTTTTTTTGTGGTAAAAAAATTATAATTCCAAGCCAAGTGCTGGTTACTGCAGTGTTTATTTACAGGTATCCCTCTTTTAACGATCATTCACTTACCAATATTTCAGTTTAGCGATATAAATTTTTTTAACACCCTTCTTTCAATCTATCAAAGTATACTGTCCTCATATCTGAAGGTTGGCGACCAGAGTCTTCCACTCTAAACTGTTCTCGGGCCATTTTTACCAATCTTCCAAGGTTTTGTACTCTTTGGAGACCCAGCTTTTAATTTTATTCATCCATCCCAGTCTGCCTTCACCTGGCCCTCCTTCCCTCAACTTGCCCATTAATATTTCTGTTATCCCTTCATCCCCAATTTTTTCTGTACATTTCAAGTAACGTATTTCTATTTAAGAATTTGCCAGTCATGTTACAGTACAGTACTACGTTTATTTTCCTGTCAGTGTAGCTTATTCTTAGCATTCACCTATTACACCACATTTCAAAGGCCTCCAACCTCTTTCTGGTGTCTACTGAAAACGTCCATGCTTCTGATCCATACAAACTTAAATTAATATCACTTTTCATTAGGTCTTTTAGATTATTAAATGCTGTTTTTGCTTGCTATATTCTTGTTTTGATTTCTTCCATACATCTACCATCACAGCTAATGTTTCTTAGTGTTGCCAAGAGTAGGCAAAAGCAGCTGGGCTGGTTGCTACAGCGACGCTTGAGGGCAGCCATGCGTGAAGCAGCCAGGGTCTATGCAAATGGCACCGCTGGCAGCTGCTTTAAAATTTAGATTTAGCCTTTCCTTAATAGTTTTAGTTAAATACAGGTTGACAACCCTTTATCCGAAAACCGAAAAGCTCTGAAATCCTAAAGTTTTTTTTTTGTGGAGCAATTTTTTTTTTTTTTTTTAAACAGAGATTAGCCAACCCAGGCTTAGATCACTGACCCACATCGGGGCCTGGGGGGGGGGATGTAATAGTAATAATAATAATTAAAGTAAATAAAAATTTTAATAAAAAATACACCAAAATAAAATAATAATGATAACAATAATAAAATTAATAATAATAATAATAATAATAATAATACTGTATTAATAAAATAATAATAATAATTATAAAGAATGACAAGAATGAAAAAAAGATAAAAAGTGAGAAACACGACCTAGACCTATGAATTATTATTGTTGTTACATTATTATTATTATTATTATTATTATTATTATTATAATTATTATTATTATTATACTTATTATTATATTTTGGCCCCCCAGGCCCAATATGGGTCAGTGACTTGTGCCCGGGTTGGCTAAAAAAAAAACATTCTGAAAACCGAAAAATTCCGAAATCCGAAATGCCTCTGGCCCCAAGGATTTCGGATAAGGGATTGTCAACCTGTATTCACATTTAAATAGTATTTCATTAATGCTTTTAATGTGTTAGGTAGTAAATTACAGTAGTTGTGTACTTTACTACATATTTATCATTAGTTAGTTAGGTTTTTTCTTGTTTCTGAACAGATTTTATGTTTTGTAGGTATTTTTATTATCGGTGAACCGATCCCTATTTTTACCATGTTCCTCTATTCGAGATATGAAAAATCACCCAACGAATGTTTTTTGGGGGAACCTAACACATTCGTTTATCGAGGGATACCTGTACAGTACTGTAGTATATGTTACAAAAAGAAGTGAAATTTTTTCTTTTCAGAGCTGTCATATGATTGATAGGCATTCATAAGCACTGCCCATGCTAGTGTTGAGTTTATACAATAGTATTAAGTCTAGTTGAATTAAATTTCGTAGCAATTTTTTTGTGTATTTAAACAAACTAAAAACTTCATAATAGCCAAATATTTCATCCACTCTGGGAATCCCATCTTTTTTAATCTTCTTGTATCTGGTTGGATTGGAGCCTATAACAAACTTACATTGCTTGTTTAACTCTGCTAAGAAAATAATAACAATGATTGACTAAATTTGAAAACAATTGATAGGTAAAAGTTTAAAATAGATTTTAGTGAAGATCTCCAAGTTTATAATCTGATTTCATAGCTTTGTGGGGGTAATTCCTTTGAATTGAGAAGATGGAAAATAAAAGAAAATAAGAGATAATAAGATTATATAATGGCAGCAGAATATCAACTAAGCGTACGAGCCTATGGCCTAGGTCAGTGTTCTTAAAACTTTTTCATCTTGATCCAGTACGATTTTATGCAGTACCTTCACAACCCTATTGACAGTCGTAAGAGCACCCCTTCCCTTATGGATAGAAACACATACTGTATAGGTCATTCTACCAGTACATGCGTGCTTACATACATGCATACCTGTATTTATAATATATGTACATTCGGGGAAAGTAATTTCACTACATCTTCAAGTTACTTATCTGATAAAGCTGTCAATGCTAACTTATAATGTAGATAATTTGCATTCCATCAATTGCATAGATAAATTATATATTACAGTACAGTATATGTAAATTCTATTTCTTTATTATATCATAGTGATGTTGATACCATAGTTTTACTTGACTGCCAGTAACTGAAATGACTACATGAAGAGGAATTACCTTTCCTATTTTTACATAATAAGCACATACAGCAAGCCCTTAAAATCCACAGCGGTTAAGTTCTCAAAATGGCCGTGAATATCATATGTTGACCAGGGAGAGGGGGGGGATAAATTTTTTTACTGGTGTCGAAAGAAATGTATATTCCCTTCACGTGTTTGCCCTTTGGACAATTATTTTGTTTACTGGTATTATATATGTGTATACACACACACACACACACACAAATAAATAATACTGTAATGGGAAAATCCTCTCGCAAATAATCAGAAACAAGCCAACAAATGTATCGAAATGTAGAAAAAATGTGAGTCTACCCTCAAGTCAACTCCATGCTTTGTTCCCATGCCCAGATTTGGAGAGAATTCCCCCGGGAATTTCTTGGAAGGCTAAAAAATTCTTTCCGGCTATTGGAGAATTCCGAGGATCGCAGATTCCAGCTAACTGGGAGATAACTGTATAATCCTAGGCCCCCTGCATCGTAAGGGTAACTCAGATCACCCAGGCAAAACCCGTTTTGTGTTGGAAAGCACTATTTTCGGCCTAGCTCTATACGGTGGTAGTTGATAAGATCTCCTTACTACACTGTAAATAAGGTTGAAAGTCCTTTGAAAATAGGGTAGAACATCAATTTGTGGCTTTTGCGTCGTCAGGTGCTCTTGTCCCGTCAGTGAGTGAGTGAGGAGTGGGCAACCAATCACAGAGGCCGGCCTGCAGTCTCCTCCCCCGTCTCGGCCAATGACAGTGAGTGTCTGCTATCTATGTCACGGCCCCTCCAGCCAATGAGGCGGAGTCCCTCTCTCCCTCTCCATCAGTTCTCCTTTGTTGTGGTGGGATCTACACTCTGATATCGATTAAAGTAAAAAAAAAGCCATATGTGGATGGGTGTTTTGTTGCTTCAAGTCAACATTGCAACAATCTACCATCTGCAAGTACAGTCATTTAGCTTCAAAATACATAAAAAATGAATGCTGTACGTATCTAAAAAAACAACAATGTTGTGCAAGTTAGAAAAACTTCAAACGCAGTTTTCTCGGTTTCAAATTTTGGCGCGAGTAACCCTTACGATGCGGGGGGCCTCATATATGACAGTGTCCTTCCCCAACCCAGGTGTCTAGTCTCTCTATACAGAATACAATACATACTAAAATAGGAGTTTGGTCAAGCAATCACCTTTTACAACCAATGGTGAGTGAAAGGTCTTGTAAAATTTAGCTGTGCTATACCCCTATCCTGTTTCATTTACAAGTGCTAAAATTCCTCAGCTTTTGTAGCTCTTTCCTCCAAATAGACCTTTTGTTTCAAAAGAATTGATGTCCAAAGGAAATGAGTCTTGTTACTTAAGGTAGAGATAATTTCCCCTATAACAATGCCTTCACTTCACCCTGATTAGAGAAGTAATTACAGAATACAATAAGGAGGAGTAGCCTCAAAGAAAATTAACAGAGGATATACAGGAAATAAAATGAGATCACAGATGTAGTACAGTAAAAGTACTGCACAATACTTCTCTCAAATATGTTTGGCAATTTATACTGTACAATATACCTTTTTACGACTCTTTAATTCTTGGACTTCACGCTTGACATCCACTTCAGGTGCACCATCGGTCTTCAACTTCCGGACAATGTCACCCTGGAATAAGAACATGTATATAATATACAAAAAATGGATATTATGCAAAAACAGAATAAAAATTGTCAGAAAGGATCAACCCAAAAGCATTTTTCCAGCTACAGGTATCCCCCAGTTACGGAAACTCTGGTTATGGAAATTGGGTAAATTTATATTTTTTTCAATACTACTGTATTAGAAAAAAATTCACAAAATTATAACATTTATTTCGTGTTGATTCCTTGGTGGTTGCTACAATACTGTACAGGGCGAGGCAGGAGTCAGTAGTCTCCCGTCTCCCTCCCAGTAACTCCGATTGCACCACCTTGCCTCAGCACCTCACCTAAGGCAGCACTTAACATCATTTGTGGGAAGTTAAATTCAAGTGTTTTGTATATTTATTATCATATTATATCATAAAATAATCAATTTGTGTGTTAAACAAATAATTTATTTTCATTCATAAATGTGCTTGTATTACGTCTTTTTGCCGAAAATATTTCCTTGGGAACACAACTCCAATTATATAATGGAATTCAGTGGGAATTATGGTTTCGCGATACGGAATTTCACTTTACGAACAAACTTTCAGGGACACATACCTTCCGTAACCCAGGGATGCCTGTACAGTACTAAAATTAAAAAAAACATAATCCCAAGGTTGGTAAAACACCTCTGGGTCAGAAATAAAAGTAATTTAGCTATCGCTCTACAAATCTAATATGTCATGGAAGCCACACATCCTTAACAGAGCTAAAGTTGCCTCCCGAAAGCAGGGAATGTTGTACAGATGCCGTAGCTACTTCACTCCTGAGCAGTTGCTTCAAGTATATAAGGGATTCATTTGTCCTAACTTGGAGTACTGCTCTCATATCTGGGGTGGGTCTTCTGTCCAACTGTTAGATAGGGTGGAATCAAAGGCCTTTCGTCTAATTAACTCTCCTAATTTAGTTGATAATCTCGCTTTCCTTTCTCTTAGCTGCAATGTTGCTTCACTCTCTCTCTTTTACAGGTACAGTACTTTAACGGGCAAAGTTCGGTGGATTTGGCATACAGTGAGTTCTGCTATAACGCGTGTTTTGATAACGCGAATTTGCTCTAACGCGATTTATGAATTAGGAACAATACTTGTATAACGCGAACGCTTGTTTGCTATAACGCGATTTTTGCTTACTATTTCTCCAATTTTGTGGTATTAACTGTGAATATGGTAAAGAAGAATATCTCCAAGAAGCGTTCTGGTGATAGAATTCCCGGTGATGATCGTAAAAGAAAGGATATAACACTTGAAGAGAAGCTCGATGTTATCAACCTCAAAATCACCCTTCTCCCCCATCAAGTTACATTCATATTTTGTCAAGGTAAAGTATTACATTTACTGTATGATTTCATTATTAGATATGAATGTAACATTTATTTAGACTGTGCTATCCTTTGTGTTAGGCTAACTACTAAATTTTTTCGATTTCGAGTAATCTGCACCTAACCCTATTTTCTCCAGAAGCCCTGTTATTTCTATTACGCGATTTTCTATAACACGATATTTTACAAGAACACAATTATCGCGTTATAGCAGAACTACCTGTACTGTGTACTGCCGGCAAGGCCGTGGGCTCGTAACACTCGTCTTGCCTGCGGTGCCCACAGTTTTTCTGTGGCTGTCATGCACACTAGAATAACCCGTCACAACACCCCTTCTTTCCTCATACAGCCAAACTGTGGAATGCTCTGTCTTCTGTGTTTCCATACTCATACAATGTCTCGCTTTAAAAAGCTGGTTTTCCGGCATCTTCGTGGTGTAATTTAATATAATCTTTTTCTTTTCAATTTCTTTCTACTCCTATTTTTCGCCCCTAGGCCCCATTGTGGATCGATGACCTGTGCCCGGGTGGGCTATTCCCCGTAAAAAAAAAGTCAAGAAAGTTGTCCTGAAAAAATTGCTTGCAGGTTAACAGTCAAATTCTACAACTTTTTACATACAGTAAATTCTAACAAGTACAGTACAGTATATATTATATAGCCTTAATGGAGAACTTTTCAATGATGTCATAGTTTCACCAGACTGGAAGCCATGGTTTCAGAACAGTCAGGTAGTCAACCCAGCAATACTGTATGTATTTTACAGTGTTCTTTTTTTCAGATTCATAATGCTGTACAATACTGTATTGATTTACAACTGATGCTTTCCCAAGTTTTTATTGTTCTCTTTGATAGGCAATACTTAAAAAGTCCTGAGCCCCCTAAACTACCAATTTTCCACTAATACTGCACTGAAGACAGCTTTCTAATCTTGAGGATATAGTAAATTAAGTTAAGAAATTTGCCAACTTTTTCTTTTTACTTTCTGTAATTTTTCTTCCTATAAATATTGGATGGGTTTTTGACATTTGTACACTTCCTGTGACCTCTCAATACCAATGCTTCCAGCAACTGTTACATTTACCAGTGCTGTACATGCAATACAATAGCTACATATGATTTACATAAGATGAGACAACCTAACATTACAATGATGTACAGTCCATGTTTATATTGATTAGGATAGGAAGGTTCATCTTATTTCCTATACAATATGATGTAAGGTAACAGTCACTGTATGCATTTGTATGTATGGATAGCTGGTGGAAGCAACTGTATGTTAACAACAAATCTAACCCAAAAATGGCATTGGATAGACATGGTGGATATACAGCATCAGTCTGGATGGTTTGTGCGTTCGTACGTGTGGTTGAATGTCTGTGCGGCACGTGTCTCACTCCGAGAGTCCTGCCATCATATGTATCGAATCAGTGTGCCGCATTTTGCTACCTACACTCATAAACAGTACATGATGAACTTTATATGTAGAGTATATATTATATTTAACAGGAATACTCAAGGGTTTTAAGAAATGGGTGAAATAATGTATAGTATGTACAGTATTTTAAGAAATAAGCAAAATTAAAACAATCTTACTAAAAGAACAACACTTGCACTGAATACTGTACTTTGGTCTAATCAGGTTTGCTGTAGGCTTAACAAGAGCTAATAAGTATGAGTGGGAAGATACTGTGTATGTAAACAGACTTGGGGTTGCTGGGGGCGATCAGGCATTGCCGCATTTGTCAGGTTTATTTATTGATTCAATATTATGCATTATTTTCAGCTAAATCGAACTTTTCGTTATATTTGGTCAATTTAGCGAACTAGTTCACTAAATCGAGCGTGATTCCGTTAAATTCTGCGCCAAATGCGCTGCTTGGGGGTTGTTTGCATTTGCTCGCTCTGTGTCCTGCCGCCACCGAGTGTGCTGTTTACTGCTACCTCTTGGTCTACATCTCGGTCAACTAACTACAGCTCCTCCCAGACTTACAACCACCCAGACCTACGACCACCTCAGTCGTACCAAAATTTTGTCAAATTACGTATTTTCGAGTCCCAACGTCAGTGATTGCGCTGTGTACTGACAAAATTTTCGTTTGTAATTCACTGTAAAATGGCTGGCAAGCTTAAAAGAGAGAGTTTTGTGATGCTGAAAAGAAAAAGAGACACCCATTTCAGAGTTTCTATGTATTATTTAAGCATTTTCCACTTACGACCTAGATTTGGGTCCCTAACCCCGTCGTAAGTAGGGGAGGAGCTGTACTGTGCCAAGACATCATGCCGAAAGTCTCTCAGAATTCTCAGAAAGGAATTGGTGTGTGGAAGAGAGTCAAAAGAGTGTGGTTATCAATTGGAAAAAGTTTGGAAATAGAAAAAATTTAGAACAAACACTGAAACCCCTAGTTTAAGGTAAGCCATGAATAATGTTTCTAATGTTTCTCTGTACGTATCATGTGTCTGAGGTGTCTCCATAGGTGTGAACATATAAACGGAATTAATCTCAATTTAGCGAACTAGTTCACTAAATCGAGTGAAAAATAACGTTAAACATTCCTTCCGCTAAATCGAGATCGTTATATGAGATTCCGTTAAATCAAGAGTACAGTATAGTCTCGATTTACGCGGATTTGGTTTACGCGTTTGGTCACTTACGCGGCACCTTGCCAGACCAACAATTTTTATTTAAACGGTTCATTCCATCATTTACGCGGGAAGCGGCGCGGGCAGGGTGAGCACAAGGTCACCTAGTCGTCAAAACATTACCGAGTTCTTCACCCGCCACCCACCACAGCCGGCCCAAGTTAGTGATAGTGAGGATATGGACTTTGAGGGGTTTGACAAAGAGGCCCTGCAAGCCTCTGTGGTGGATAGTGATACAATTGATACAAGTGATACAGGTGAGGGCCAATAATCTGCCCTCTGCCTCGGAACCAACCCCCCATCCCCGTGTGCCCAGCCATCTTTTCTACTAACGTAAGTGTTAAAAAACCTATTAGTATTGATATTTCTCTTAAATATTAATTGTGTGCAAACCATCATAAAATTAAGATGTTATTTTTACTACAACGTACGTATTGTGTCGGAAAAAGTGTAGTTTGGGGGTCGGCCCAGTCTCTATTTCAATTAATCCCATATGTTCTGTTATTTCGTTTACGCGTTTCTCGTTTTATGTGGACCTCCACGGGTTCAATTGACCGCGTAAATGCAGACTATACTGTATAGTGTATTTTTGTATAATCAGTCTCTTACGGTGTGATTCACCATGATTAACATAACACCTTCAATAATAGAAAAACACAATACGTACTGTAATGTACAAAATTTGTAATATGACTTGAAAATAAAAGGACAGTATTCACTAAGGAGAGCTTTCAGCATATCAGCTGACAACAGGGTTACCATGAAAACATAGTGCAGGGCTGGCCCTACCTTGTGAGTGGCCTTGTGCAAGATAATGGTTGGGGGCCCCCATTCCTTAGACAACTCTCCCATCGTGCCCAGTCCCTCACCCACATACAAAATATTCCTGATTTTCTATGAGAACACCACCTTGTACTATTAGACAAAGATACTGTACATGCAAATATGTAACAGGAAGGTATATCATTATCACTTGCCAGGTTTTTAAAGACAGAAACTGCCAAAGCCCATACTTACTG